TTCCTTCCTCCTATTGTGAATATTGTAAAGAAACTTCTTGATACTAATGTTAAAGTGAATCTTCTAAACTGAGTTTGAAAGGTTTTTTTAATCTCTAATGAGGATCTTCAATTTTTGCTGTTATAGTATTCCTCCACTGACCATTGCTCTAATCATTCGGATGTACACTGTAAACGATAAACTAGAAGAAGCTTGGTAAGGTTACAAACTACCTCATAGGTTATAATATTCTTAACAGGGCCGTTCTGAAACCACTTATTGGAGGAGATTGCTTCCTGTAGAGATATTATTTTACCATTATTATTATTATATCTTTTTCTACATCGTATATTTTAATAGTAAGCCATTGAAATTGAGTAGCCAGTAAAGATTTAGACAGACACTTTTAATTACTGCTTAGTCTTATTAAAAAGGCCCGCCGTTCAGAAACAAGTAGCTGGCAAATCGTCGGCCTTCAGTGCATCTATAAAACACTGGCTGTTTTTATACACACAAAAAATACATGGGTCCGCACGTTCTCTTAATTTTATCCTAAATGCCGTTTGGTAGAAGAAATGGATTTCTCTGATTGCTCCGATTGTGAATTGCTCCAACTAGTTTAGCTCTGTAATTAGTTTTGGTACCCTGTTATATGATATGATCATTCCCAATTTCATATGCTTTCATTTACAGCACTGAAAAATTGCTTTTGTTGTTGTTGTTGTTGTTGTTGTTGCTGTGGCCATGCCATCCTAAAGACACCACCTTCGACCTATTTTTGGAATAGTATATACATTTAAAAACAGATTTATGTTAGGCTAACTAGGGATTCTATTATTTCAGGAATTGTTTAGCGATGTACAATAAAGTAGAAGCCTTTCCACAGTAAGTACTTTATGAATTGTCAGGTCAGGTTTTATTAAAGTGTGGAGACCTTTCTCTAGTGTCTCTAATTTTTTGCCTGCAACTCGGAAATTACTCACAAAAAATCGTGGCTGTATTTTCTGTGCTGATTTTGGCACCATTTCTTGGGGACTTTTCTGGAAAAAAATTCACTTACTATGTCATTTTAAGTTGTATCATGTTTGGCCTCATAGCCAACTTGTTTGCGACATACCTAACATGTATAGGATAGGTATTTAAATCGAAGTTTATACCTGTTAATGTAAGACTTGATATAAGAATATTTGAATAGCAAAATTAGTTGTTCTTGAACACAAAAATGAGTGTAAATTAGTGGAACGCGAGATTTAAGGGTATTTCTGGTTCACGTGTCTTGTGAGTCTTACGTTGTAGAAACATGGACTTTTCATGGTAATTTTTTTTTAATTTCACTCCAGTTTTTCAAGTCTCTTTAACATACTGAATCTGGCGGTGAAGAAAGGTGACAAAACCAAAGTAGTGGTAAGTGTCACGCTGCATGTCACACTAGACTGTCACAGTATTTTTCTGGCTAGGATGTCACACTCTAGGTGTGTAGGTGCTTCAATCGATATATTGGGTGACAGGTAAAGGGATGCGCTCGGCTTAGTTTAGACGTGTGCATCAGAAGTAAGATATAGTGTCGTTTCATTGCAATTTTACATGGATTGCCTTTGTTTCTTTCCATCTCTACTTTTGGAAATCCTTCCAGAATATTACCTGAGAATGCATTGCTTCATCCAATAACTTCAGACGATTTTATGTACTTCCGTAAAATTTTTACACCCCAAAGATTTGACAGTTTGTCTATCGCTCTGTCTTATTAGGTGTTTTTTGTGTGTGTGGGTCCCAATATTTGTTGCTGTTGTGATACTTTTCAACTCTTTCAGGCAACTTTTGAGCTGATAGCCAAGTATGGGTTTGAATTTAACAGTCGCAGACGAAGTCGTTATTATGATGCAGTCGACCTTCCTCCTGATAAAAGGTAAGGCACTTGTAATTATTCTTTCCTTAGTATCATATACAATCAGTACTTTTGAAGGTAGAAAACACAACACTGGTAACAACAAACAAACTTGAGAACCAACTGACTTTTGGCTGACTGATTTACTGACTGAATGTCAAATTGGCTGGAAGGCTCGCAAGCTGATTGATTGACTAACAGACTGCTAGACTAAAAATTTTACAACTGCCTGCCTGGTAGCTATACTGACTGACCAACTGCTAGACGGCCAGGCTAATAGTCTTACTGACTGCTTGCCTGATTGCTAGACTAACTGACTGACTGACTTCTCGACTGCTAGGCTGAGAGTCTTACTGACTGCCTGCCTGCCTGATTGCTAGACTGACGGATTGACAGACTTATCGTCTGACGGACTAAACCGTCAATTTACCAATTCATTCATCATTGTTTCATTTATCATTATCAGGAAACACATCGACAAGTTATTTGAAAGTTTAGCTGCTCTCGGTAAGTGCTTTGAAGGTTCTCGCTTACTCAGTTTCTCGGTAATATAGGCTCCGGTAGTATTTCTTTTTTTCAATGCAAGATATACTTGAAGAGGGAGGGCTGCATTCTGTGACATAACTGAGGGAAAGCCTTACATTGGTTTTGTGGTTTAAGTTGCAACTTTAGAGAGCCATTTAACTTGTTGACCCTTTCCACCCTAAGGTTAATATTCATACTCTTCCCACTGTTCTCTTTACAATTCCTGTGGTACTGACAAAAAGAATTTATTAGAGCATGCCTTCCCACTACTGTGACCCGGATTCGATTCCCGGACCTGGTGTCGCATGTGGGTTGCGTTTTTTGTTGGTTCTCGTCCTTGCTCTAAGGGTTTTTCTCTGGGTCACCCCTTCACAAAAGCCAACGTTCTAAATTCCAATTCAACCTGGAAACAGTGGACAAGAAGAGTCACCTCGCGGAATGTCCTCCATTAAATCCCATTTTTTGTAATTTGTTTTACAATTAGGTGATCATTTCTTTTATTCACATGACCTTAACTTTTGATTCCTAAAGGATGTGTAAGGAGAAATAAAAAGCCAGACACTCTAAACGGTAAAGGGGTTTATTCAAGAGATAAAGTAGTCAACTCTAGTGTTCTAAAGCTATACCCAGTCGAATCAACACATTATGTCTCGATTAGACCATTTATCTGTTTGTCTCTTTTTTTGTTGTTTTAATAGAAAAAAACAGGAAGAAAGCAATAGACGCAGCAGCTAACTTGCCGGATGAGGTATAGATCTGTAGTTGTCTCCATGTGTATACAACTTTAAACCTTTTTCTTATAGGTGTAATTGGTTATTCATTTTTTTAATTTCGATTTCTTTTGAAAAATACAGAAATAAATGGGCAAATTTCTATCTTTTAATCACGATGTTTTTATATCTGTGTTTAAGGATGATGCCTCACATAACCCAACAGAGATTTAAGGAAAAGAGTAGATGAAAAGTGCCCAAACGAAGAGCACAGAAAACATCGCGGAAATCTCTGAACAGTAATATAGACTTTGTTACAGTCATTTGTCGTGGACGTTAATTTTGTGTTTCGGAAGCGTTTTATTTTTTGAAAAACCTACTAGTTCGCACACTTCCGTTAATTGACACGCACGAAGTATTAAGCAAAATCGTTCCCAGGGTCTCTCCTCTTTCCACCCTACGGAGCTAGGGAGACTGGACAACGCCGTGGGGTCTTCTCTCTGTCGTTCTAAATGGTCTGAAGTCGGGAGAGAAGGGGTACTATGGCGTTTTCAGTGCAGTTTCATAGGTCGGAAAGTGGTCGATCTTAGCAAATGGCAACATACAGTAAACCAATAAGAACTCAAAACAGATGCAAGTATGAGACACTAGGCGCGCAAACAAACAAACAAACAAACGAAGGAAAAAAATGTTTTTTTAGATCAAGTTTTAAATGGCTCTTAATGCATCTCCTTACAGATCGCAAGTAAAGTAGAAATAAAGAAGATTGTTTTGGACAGTTTCAACTTGCCGTTCACTTTGAATAATATGCGTGTTTTGCGTCACACTACTACTGTTGTATGCTTTCGGTTTAGGTCCGTTTGGTCACCTCACAAATAAAAATTTCATCAGTACTATTTTGACTTGAACTAAATTTAAATAAAAAATATTTGCTCCACTACTATAGATAAATGGTCCAACTTTTTTTTCCAGTATCACGAGAGGTAGTTTTCCACGGTCATGCGGTTTGGCCTTACAGCTAACTTTTCTCATGCTCCCCTTTCCTCTCTCACGGCTAACTTTTCTCTCCCATTTCTCTATCCTCCTCTCCTCTCATGATTCAGCTGGTTGGACGCGATGGAATAGGACATCCCCGAGATTTCACGAGCCTCTGTTTCAAAGAGAGGCCAGGGGCTCGGTCTTTGATACGAGAATGATCTGTTACTCTCATCCATTTTAACCCGGCTGTCTTTCACAATAGAGATTGGATCAGCGAATGTAGTTTTAAAGGCCATTTAAGTGCCTCATGGAAAAAAATAATGGGTATTTCAGTATCCAAGGAGCCCATCCTTTCCCCAAACTTATATTTTATACAATATATAGCGACATGTTGGGTATGAATTATTGGCAGGAAATATTGTCACGGTGTGAAAGTGAAAACAGTCATGACTAGATTCTTCAAATCCACCTTTGGCGTCTTTGATAACAGTTAGCTTTAACCCTTGAACTCCCAAGATGTGATTGTTAATCCTCCCTTCTAGCTGTTTCGCATTTCCTTACAAATTGGTTACGAGAATTTGGTGCTAGATCGTGAGAACAAATCCTACCTGATAAGTTTGAGTTTTCTCATTACCTGCTTGCTGGATTATGTATGGATATTATAATTACATGTTCATTGCTTCTGGGAGTTGAAGGGTTAAGTTTACCAGTTCTTGATACCATCGTTACGACCAAGGTAGAATCTATCATCAGTACTGTACGGCTAACAACTAATTGGGACCCATCTACGAAAACCATAGGGTGAACTCTTAACCCTTAATTAAAACCCAAATCGATTAACATGGTAATTTTCCTTACAGTATCAATTGAGTAGCAAGCAAACAGGTGATAAGAATAGAAAAAACTGAACAGTAAGCGGCGGACTCTATTTTAACGCTCTAAAGAAATTTACAAGCAACTGTTTGACAGCTTGAAGAGAGAAGTATCAGTCTGATCTCGAGACTTACGGTTAGGAGGCCATACCACTCAACTAAATCAGTGATATTTTTTTTCATACTGATCTTCAGTTACAAGGAAAGGACTGGGGTTCACGAAAGTTACCCATTTTTACTCTTCCAAGCTTAAAAAAGCGAGAAGCAGTTCACGAAATTCACAGATTTTTATTCTTCCAAATTTAAACGGTGAAAATCAGTTCATTCTTTTTGGACGGGATCCAGCGATGATGAAAGATTGAATTTTTCATATTACTTACTAAGCACGAGTAAAGAGAAACGGCATGGTTGGAATTGTGTAAATATTCGTCTACTTTGTAGCTATTACTGTCACCACAGTTCTGTCTCACTGAGGAACAACATGTGAGCCGTTTTCATACTTCTGAATTGTCGCCCAGAGTTAGGAAACTAATTTAGACTTTCAAATACGAGTATATTTTAATCTGTAAAACTATCTTTCCCGAACGAATGATTGTTACACCACTTGTTTTGAGTACTTTATTGGGGAGGGGGGAAGACAAGGAAAATAGGGGCCAATTGGGGAGGGGAGAGGCCTGTTGGAGAGGGACTTATTAAGGAGAGACATTATTAGGGAGGAGGAGTCTTATTATGAAAGATGGACAACAAAGGAGAAAGTTTATTAGAGCGTTTACGGTAGATGCACATATTGTTCCTTTTCTTCGACCTAACTTGTGATTACTTAAGTTTAGGGTTTACGACACCCAATCAAAGGCGCCCTTGAACGAACTACGATAAAATCTCTTTTAGAGTGTTCTTTTGAGTCACAATCAATAGTCAATATTATTTTGTTCTAATAAATTTTAAAAACCTGTGCTAAATTTTTAAAAATGTTCTGACATCATGAGCACCACGAGAGAGGACCACCCTGTGAAAGGATGAGACCCCTTCCCATGACCTGTCCCGTCGTCGTACTGTTCCCATATGAACCCTGACCTCTCGTACTCCCTGAACATATTTTTGATTAGATTTTGTCGTAAATCTGTGTAAATTGCTTTAGCTGTGCCCTGGTAAGGCCCCGGGATGCTAGCGTAGTGGTTCAAGGCCCTCACGGCCAGGAAGTTGATGTTGATCCATATGGCTCCTCTCCAGTAAGGAGCATCGTGTTTAGTGTTGTGCTTCTTGTAGACGGGGTCGCTCTTGGACAAGGACCGTATACCGTACTTACCCCACAGCTTCTCTGGGTCTCTTAACTGAGTGAGAACTTTTTCAAGTTTGGGTGAAGTGGGATCTAGGATCTGAAGCAGAAATGGAAACAAGCTGACGTAACCAACTGCGTTCACGTACCTAAGAGAAGGACCCTGCTTTGATGTAACGATGCGAACAGTCTTTTTGGGCGAACCGGGTTGATTCGGATACATAACACGCTGAACAAGCTTCACAAACTTGGTATGATTGCCAAAATCGCTATACGTCTCCGCCTTTGAAGACCAATGATACTCGTCCAACAGCCTGTTGTCCGACAGATACTGGCTCGTTGATTTGTACAAGCCGGCATCTGACTTCTCACCCACAGCCTCAGCGATGTCAGCCATCAGTCCAGCAGCAAATGCCATCCAGCAACGTAGATCAACGTGCCTTTCATCGTCTGACGGGTGCGACGCACGGGGATAATCATCCAACCCGGAGGTAAGCGTCTTAGGATTCAACTCTCTGTCTGTCTTAGCATCCCTCCCGTGCCACCTGTATGTAGATGGTTGATTTCCTAACTGTGTAGTGTTGAACCAATTAAACCACGCCTTCAGGCGAGGAAAAATCTTCCGCAAGTATTCTTCATCCAACACGCCCTTATCCACCATCGATTTGATAGGCAGGATCAAAGTGGGTGGGTTTGCGTTTTCGTTGTGCTGTACGACGAAATCTGAAGGTACTTTCGTTCGGGCTTCGTCGCCGAGAATCTGCTCCCTAGGAATCCAACCTTCAATGTTGATCAAATCCAGCCAATGGCCGATGATATCTTTGCTTATATCCGAGTCCCACTGACTGATTAGTAGTTGGTGGAAGCCTTCATCCCAGAGGAAACCTCGTGGAAAGAAAGGACGCGACGGAACTGCGGTGTACAAAGCGCTTTCCCAGTAATCTTTCGGTTCCTTAAAGAACCGAGAAATCACTTTTGAGCTTCCATAGAAATAACCAATGCCTCCAATCATGTTACTTAGCCCGGCCTGCGCAAATTTAACCTCATCGTCATTAAACCCTTTAGCCTTCAACGAAAACTTTTCTTCAAATTTTTTGTCAAATTCGGCGCTGTATTTATCTCTAAGATTCGTGAAAGCAGCCCCTATCAGGCTTTTCTCCCTGGTTGAGGAACTTTCAGACTCGAACACAAACTCCACGTCGAAAGGAAGTTCGAGAATCCATTGCTGGACAAATAGGTTCACTGGTAACTCACGCCCATTCTGGTCACGTTTAGCCACGTGACCTGCTAAGGCAAGCAGCTGCATATTCTTGCCATCTTTCATTTTTTCCCCACGCATGTTCTGCATCACTATTTCCTTGACCGAATGCACGTGCGGCGTGTGTGTAATTAAGAACGACGACAACAAGACTTTAGAGGGGCGTGGAAAATATAGCTTAAAGGAACCGAGTTCAGGCGTGTAACCGCGCAGCGCTGTAAGTGTGTTCTTGTGGACAACTGGCTGCAGTTGGGCTTCTCCTTCGTTAGTGACATAGAAAAGTAACGAAACCATCTGCCTGGGGTTTCCCTAAAAAACGAATCGGACGCAAAAATAACAAATGAATAAACATATTTCAAAGTGTTAAACGATTTAGAGTCATTTGAAATTTCGATTAAGTATCTACGATGAAATACTGCATTTAAATTGTTTACGTTTTCAATTTCACCTCAATCTGACAGTTAAATCTAAGATAAAATATTAAACAAAAAATCAAGTCTGTGAATGAGACTGGTGAAAAGTAACTTAAGGTTGAAAAACTATCTCTCTTGTCAGCAATTAAGCAAAGGTCAGAAAGGAAAAATCATTGCATCTCTTTGAAGTTTGATTTTGGACACATTTCAAAAATGCTGATTATTAGCTCATGCTTGTTGTGTCATTAAGTGACCGTGAGAATCAGGGTATGACTAAATGGGGCAAAAAAACACCAACCGTTCTCTTTCCTGAAATTCTTGCAGTCCAGTCTCCACCATGATCTCCACCCAACCTTTTCACAAAGTCTGTATTCAACTCAAAATCTTTGTCAACTATTTGCTGAGAACCAAAGTTGGTGCCATCGTGTTTAAGCCAACCATACTTGGGAAGCCCGTCAGACTGTTCACAAGTGTGACGAATGGTTACTTGACCATCAGGTGAAAGCTGAGGGAACCACATTAAACCTGTCATGAGGGACTTAGGACTCCTTGTTCTGTGGACAATAGAAAAAGATTTGTAATTGAGCAAGTTCAATCCACACAAAATCTTCTGGAAGGTGGCCAGCTAAATTAAAAAAAAATAGCATGCGTCTTCATTTTCTGCCATAATTATACATTCTATGTAGGGTTATGGAGATGAAAGAGGTAATCCTATATTTGATATTCCCTCACAAAGAAGAAGATCTGGTGGTCTAGTTTGATCCAGTAATAATGGTCTCAAAATCATTCTCCAGAAGACCAGTTTAAGATGAACTCACATTATTGCAGTAAATGTAAAAATGATTTTTGCTACAGTTAGGCCCAATTCCTAACTCTATCAATGTATCTCTTTGAGGTGGTTGAAAATGGTTTTGTTACCTTAAATTATCAATTCCTCAATGGATAGTAACTTCAACACCTTTTACATTGATTCATTTTCTTGGAAATGAGATCAAGAAAATACTTGATTTTTTTCTCATCAAGTTAAAACTTCTTAAATATGTAGGGTAACCAAAGACACAGCACCTTCCCTAAGCTGTTTGAAATATAGTGAAGACTGACTGAAGGATAAATTCCTATCCAGCCTTACATTTTGTTGGGCTAGAGTTAATTATCATCACATCTTTGTTATAAATGAACACTTGCATGACAATTTACCCTTTAATCCTTTAAATCTGTGGAGTGACTAGCATCTTATTTCTCCTTACAATATCATCTCTAAATTACAGATAAAGGTCATGAGGATAAAGGAGATGATCTCCAATTAAAGAGGCTCATAATTGATCATCAAATTCTCCTTTTCAGCACCTTAGGAAATGTATAGAGAACAGTATGGAGAATATGCATTTTGATGTTAGGGTGTAAAGGGCCAAACAATATGGATCTGGTGGATAGAACTCCCCCCAAATAGGGTAAGCTCACCTGTCCTCACAGAACCCTCTACAACAGTCTCCATTACTCCTCTTCACCATAAAATTAGTGTGCATAATCAACACACTGTTCTCTAGACATTTCACATGGAATTGGCCAGGAGAATTTGTTTCACAGTCCAGGATTCTCTAGATGGTGATCATTCTCTTTATTCCCATTACCTTATTGTTTGATTCAGCCATGATTCTGTAAGGAGAAACTTGATGCTCATCATTCTTCAGAGTTCAAGGGTTCAGGAGAAAAATCCTCAGAAGTCATGTTTAACGACTTTAGTCTTAAAATTTAAAAGGAAATAAATTTAGCTTTGTAACTGAAACTAACAGATAACCAAGCTCAAGTGAGTCGTCATAATTTAAGAAAAAAATAGTGTCAGCTTTTTTTTTTTTTCAAATCAATAATTTTCTTACCGCAGCCCAAAGTAGAGGTTAGATCGATATGTTCCCCAGAAGCGACTCATTTCCATTTCACTCTTGTTTATAACTAACGGCGCATCGAGTGGCGTGAAAAGACGTGTGGACAATTTGTAATTCCAAAGTTTATAGGCTCCAAACAAAAACAATGGAAGACCAAAAACAGCTGCCAGCACTAGAATTGGTTTGAAAGAAGATTCCTTCACCCGGCGCCGAGGAAATTTAGTCCTATCTACATGATCTCTTGAAGAATCGAAACTGTGTTTTCCTTTCCTCTGTCGTGCCATTTTCGAGAATAATGCTAAATTGAAGGAGAAAAAGACTTGCAAAACTCTGCGAACAACTTTACAGAGGGTCAGCCATCTTGTTACCATGCGGCCGAGAATAAGCTGGAAAGGACTGAGCACTAAGGTAAAAGTCGCGGCAGTCGCCCGACCGGCGCGACAATCGCGTGCTTTCTGACCCGTCAGTACTTCCGGTTTGTCTCAGAATATTCCGGTTGCAAGACAAATCTCTCGGTCTACCGCAAAGTTTTCAAAGTATCTCAAATGTCGCAAATTTAGATGACGATTTTCCTGTAAACAATGGGTGAAAAAGCAAATAACTGTTATAAAAAGTAAACTTTATTGTGGTGAAAATAATGAAATTTATTTTCAAGGATTTTTGATTGTTTGCATATTTAATTTGACGAATTTTGATTTAAGAAGTTCCCTTTTTAGTTTATGAGGAGCTTCTACAGCAACACCTACCTTGTCATTTTTGAAGTGCAATCCCCATCTGAATATCTTGTTTTTCAGAGAAGTAAGGGTATTTTACAGGAAAATTTCTGGTCTAACCCCAAAGTTTTGGTGGCTGGGTACACAAGGGAAGTGAAGTGCTTTAAGTTTTGATAGTCCACTTAACTTCTATTCAAGGTGAAGTTAAATATGAAGCTGTTGTTTGGTCTCATCTCTGAAAGGTTGACAGTGTGGAGAAACTGCTTTAGGTCTTTTAAGACTAAGCAGCAACAGCAAAGGAGACAGACTTAAGGGTAGGATATACCCTGTACAATTCCTTTTAAGACTTTAAGAGATAGCTATGTCGTAGAGAGGCACCATTTAAAGGCTTGGGCCATATGGAAGGATGGGGAATTACTAACTGGTTCAGGGATAGGTAAGGGCAAGAAAGATTGCAGAAGGGTGAAAGGGTAAACTTATGATAAACTCAATAAAAAAGTGAGTTAAAGCTGTTTAGTTTTCAAGCCTTTACCCTTGTTTTCCTTTGTAACAAAAGGAAATTTCAGGAATACAGAGTTTTACTTCATGAATATAAAAGTTGTCAATTTCCATAACTGTTATATACAAATGGGTTACCATTTGGTGAAAAGTTGTCAGTGAGAAGTTCATTCTCAAACAAGATTTTATTAGGTACATGTGAACCTCTTCCCTCAACTCATCAATTTGTTTTCTCCTTTCTGGGCCTATGTGGCAACATATCACTAATGTGACAGTCAGTTGTTTGGTTGTTTCTCTGTTTGTTTTTTTGTTTGTTTGTTTTTTGTTTCCCTTTTACTGCTGAGCTGTACCAATAACCAAGGCAAACAAACAGAAAGTTCTTACATCTCCTGTGGCTTATTATAATCTTATAGTCCATGCAGTACCTGAAGGCACTGCTTAATAACTGCTCATCATTCTTTTTCACAGGTCAATGTCCATCATTCTTGTCTGAATCAGTTTATAATCAACAAACAAGATCAGAATGCAAAACTGGACCTGGATAAAATTATGGTATGCATAACTACCTGCCAAATAACAAGACCCATGCTCTTTTTATAAATAAGAAATCAAGTAATCCTATTTAGGACAATTGTTTATATTAACAATTATTTTCTTTCTTTGCTATTGGTGAAATGATAGTCTTTAATGAAACCATAAGTATTAAGTAAGTGTCTTCCTGACAGTCTTCCAAACATTTCTTACAAGTTTAGTTAAGAGAAGTTGGCATTATATAAAGTTGTTTATAGACTAGTATAATTCTCAATTCAGACTACCTGCTTAACAATGTAATTATACTGCAAAGAGACATTTTTATTGGTCACTCCGTGAAAGGCTTTTAGGGAAAGAAGATATAATTCTCATCTGTGTAATTTCAGCCTTTTGAGACTTCGACAAGAACCTTCATCCTTCAAAAATTGTCCTTAATTGTGCTACAATAGAGAGTATGGTTGATTATTGGCACACAAACAATTCAGAAACCTATCACAAAACACCTAAAGGGTGGGAATCAGAACAAACTGTCAGAAAAAAACAAATTGAAAATTTAAAAATGCCTTTTTGTGCAACTCATTTATGTTCAGACACATTACTAAGATTTGACAAAAAGGGGAATGAAACTTTGAAACATCAAAGGTGGGAGCCACAATGCTGAGCAAGATTACAGACAGTGGCATCTTCCTTTGAATTTTTAGCACATTTAAAGATAATTTTCAAGAATATAGACTACTAGATAGAATCTCAATGTCACTAGTGTTATAATTTCATATAAACCTTTAAAAATGGAAATAAAAATAACATGATCTCTGGAGCATACTTCTCCTTTGGGGAATACAATCTACCACTTTGTGAAAAGTGTAGAGAGAAGTGCACCCACCACAGAATTGTTTAACCTGCTGAAACCCCGATCAGAGATCTGACTCTTCATTCTCCCATTACATTTAGACAGCATGTGTATATTGTTAATTCCTTAATCCAAGTAGAGTGCCTGGTTGATAGGGTGTTTATAGTGCAGGGAGAATTTCATAATTGATCAAGAAAGGTGTCCACAGAAAGGAGATAAAGCAAAACAATTAATGTAAAAGAGCTGATTGACTTCAAACTTGTCAACAGGGTTCTTTGCCCTGCCTCTCCAATGCCATTTCTATAATTATTTTTGCACCTGCAAATGAAACCCACAGATGAAAACTTCAAATAATCTATATCATCCAACTTGTAATGTCCCATGTATTTCCATTTCAATTTTCTTAGGCTTTTTCTCTAGTTCTTCCTAGGAGAATGTTTTCTTAGATTCTATTAAGTTAAGAAGTGTTACCTAAGATAAATAGTCATCACCTCTTGGTACAGGAGGTAAGACAACTGTTGAACCACTAAAAAACTTGACATACAACACCATCTGCTTTTCATCATCTCCATATTTCAAAGCTGAAAAAAAACCTTGAAAAAAATTCTTTCTTTCACAGGGTTTCTTTAAGTTAACTTCTTGGAGAACAAGAGAGTTCATCCACATATTACTGCTGGAAGCAATCAAGACATTAAATCTCATTCCTAAGACCCCCTTCTACACATTACACAAACTTTTCACCAGAATAAAACTGAGAAGCGAAGCCCATATGTACAACTTACAAGACACTTGTCTTATATCTGGATTTCTCTATAATTTAAACCATATAGCATAGCCTGATGTAGCTTAGAAGGTCTTGCGATGAATGGCTCTGGCTCCCTCATCATCATATTCTTTTTTGGACACCCACATCTTCTTAAATGTGTCTAGAGATGCTAAAATAGAGCCCCTAAAATAACAAACAAAAAAGGAAAACTAAGAATTTTGAGATGCAAGGTTTTCATAACCAAACATGTTCCACAACATACTGAGAAAAAGGATCATGACAAGTATTCAAACAAGTGGGAGGCAAACCTACCCAAACCATGTTGAGTAAAGCCTTTCTGGAGGAGCTGAAATCTAAAGACAGACAAAAAAATAAATAAATGGAATAGAACTCGAATTACCTTTAGTCACACTGATAAAAAAGTCAGACATGTTATGTCTCATCAACCAGCCCTTGCTGTAGTTACATGCAGCTTTAAAAAATTTAGTGCAAGAAGAATTATTGAGAGCATACAAACCCTAATTTTAATATCTTTTGGTGCCAATTTCTTCACTTCACTCAGCAGCCTATCTCCAAAACCTGTAAAAAAGGAAAAATTGAAACTGATGATGTGTTGTAGTTCAAAATTTTCCTTGCATTTAATTCCTTGTTTTAAAAGCCAGGTCGACCTTTATTTATTAATTTTTTTTTTGATTGCAAGACAAGGGAAAATTTTGAACCACAAAATACACAAACTCAAATCTTTCCATCAGGATTACTAGGATACTTGTGCTTACAACATCAATGCATTATCCAGTAAAGTGGAAGGGAAATGATGCAAACTTATCAGCTGGATAGTATTTTCTTCATGTGACACCAAATCTTCTTACCTTTAAACAAGGTTGAGCCACCAGAGAGCACAATATTCGAATAGAGAATTCGTCTTAGATCCATGTCAGATTTTTGAATAGCAAATGCCAGTACCTAAACAAAAACAAAACCATTATTCAGTTCTAGACACTCTGGCTCAATGTAATTGGCAGTACTGTTATATCAGTCTCCCTTACTTCATGGATTCCTTCACATTCCTCTCCAACCAAGTCAGGTCTAAACAGAAGTTCTGGTGCTCTGAAACGTGCTGGTCCAACCTAAACAAGACAAAAAATGAGTAATTAGAGACAACTGAACATTTTCTCAACATTATCATAATGGTTCTGTCTCAGCATAACAGTAGGTATAGAGGGTAACTTATGACAGGCTAATGTGAAGGAGTAGCAATTCAACCTGAAACTGAAAAAGGCTTCAGTAGTTATTGAAGTCACACTCATGACATGTAACCTTTATCTAGTTCAGTTTAAGGAAATTTTTGAAGCAAAAGTCTTTTACCTCTAATATGCTTCCATCTGGTAGTGCATATTGCATTCTTTCTCCTTCCATCGACTCCTGCAAATTTGATCAATAATTTTTCAATAAAATGAGTGGAAACATCAAGGCAATGAAATCAAAATTAAATATGTCTCAGAATGTTTAAAATCAATTAAGATCTCCTTCACTTACCTCTTTCTGTGGGTTAATTGCAAGGTAGCAAGCACGCTGGAAAAAGAGGAATTAAACATTTTTAGTTTTTTATACATTTGTTCAAAAATGTATTTGCATTGACCATTCACAAGCATATTTGCAGTTTCAACATATACGTATTCAAAACAGAATCCAAGATTTTCTCACCTCTTTAATAGTTCTTACTATTTCCAGCTCTGATGAAGAATGAAAGTTGAAGCCTTCCTTTCTCAAAAGCAGTCTTAAATAAGCAGTTACATCTCTGTTGACAGTGCAAAGTAAAGTGATGGATAATAAGTTACTCTCTCAAACCAATCAAAATTGAGGTCCACTTAATGCTCACCAGATGAGAATTAAATAAACAGTACATTATGTAAAAAGTAGTTTGATTCATTTTATTATTTGACCCAAAACATACCTTCCAGCAATGTCTGTCCTCATAATTGAGTGTGGCATAGCAAAGCCTTCATAAATAGGGACTGAATGAGACACTCCATCACCAGAATCTAACACCACACCTGTGGTACGACCTGAAGCATACCTGAAGAGTAATGTTTAGTAAGAGTTTGTAAACAGAGGTAAATTTAAACCACAACATAACCAATCAGAATACAGGATTCCCTTCATCTTGCCCACTCCTAGAGCCAGCCATAAACACTTGTTATTTCCATTATCCCCTTTAAGCTACTGTTTAAATTATTTCATTTCCATTATCACCTTTTTGCCCAGATTATTCTGTAAATATCATATATAATCATGACAGGGTTTCCTCATTAAAAAAGAATCCCATGAACAGAACTTCCAATAAGGAACAAAAGCAAAAAGATGGTAAGAATTCAATTAAAAACCGTTACTTACAAACTAAGTACTGCCTGCATAGATATGAACAATGCTGGAACATTAAATGTTTCAAAGAATATCTGTGGGAAAATTGTATCAAAAGAAAAATGAGTACACCATGGAAACATACTTGAAAGTCACCTTTAATTAGAAGATTTTCATTTTAGACCATACTGAATTGACTAATAATTTACTCTAACTTTTTTTGTGCAAAATTTTCAGCATTTGTTAAAAGAACTCAGACATCTCAGCTGTCATTTTGATATGAAAGAAACCAATGGCTTTGATAGTTTCCACCTTTCCTCACCCCCCCCCCCTCCCCCATATAAATCCATTTCTTGATTCTTTTCATTATTTCTAACCTCCGCTGATTTCTCTCTGTTTCTTCGAGGATTCAGGGGAGCTTCTGTCAATAGCACAGGATGCTAGTAAGAAAAAAATTACCACACATCACATTACTGTCCATACAGGTGTACCAAGGTAATGGTAAAAGAAATTTTAGTACTGTATGACACAGATAAAATGTTTACCTCTTCTGAAAATGTTTGAAGCTGGTCTTTGGAGTATATATACTTGAAAAAAGAGTTAAAATGACAACAAATGTCAGTCTGGCAAATAGTGTAAAAAAAAAAAAAAAAAAAATAACATTAAAGTTTATATCCATCTACCTGCCAAATTCTTTCCATGTCATTCCAGTCTTTTACAACACCATGCTGAAAACACAGATAGGAAAGGTTAATTGATTTTTTGTCATCAAATAGTCATACTATATTGTTTGTAATATACTAAAGAGAGGTGCATCTTGTTAATAATAACATTATTTTGTTCTGATTTGCACAGTACATCAATACAAAAACAATAAATGCATCAATTAACCAATCTGATACACGGACCAGGGATTGCAAGGCTAGCAAATAATTGATCATCTCTTACCTCCATGGGATATTTGATATTTAATAGGCCTCTGTGTTCCTGAAAAGGACAGCATAAGGGAAAGGCATTTGTTAATTAAAGAACCACTAAGTGTGAGCTACCTTGTATATAATAAATCAGTAGTCTAACTCAGCTTACGCTACTAAGTGTGAGCCACTTTGTATATAATAAATCAGTAGTCTAACTCAGCTTGTGCTAGAATCTTACAAAAAAAACAAACAATTAAAACAATTCTCAATTCATTTTCCATCACTCAACATAAACAGACTTTAAGTCGTGTACCCATGGTAGCAAGAAAATCTTTTGCAGTAGTTTTGACAGCACACACCTCAGCTTTAGGTCCAATAAATATGTCACCCTCCAAGGCTCCAGCCATGACACGAACATGTTTGGGTCTGCCCACACTGACATAAAAAATGTGTCAACATACATCAATAAACAGTGTCCCTGGAAAAACCTTTTTAGTTCACATTCTGGTGAAAAATACATGTATAATAGAGATGGTTTTCCATAGGACAGTACATTCTTTTAAGAGAGCTTGTGCATCATGTCAAAGTAATTGGACAGAGATAGGACTGATTAAAAGTTCAGTCTGTAATCCTGTCTAATTTAATGGTCACAAGTATAATTACAGAAAAAATTGGACCAAACAAAGTCCTGGTAATTATCAAAAAATGACAAAAGTTGAGAAAGAAACTAGACATTGGTTACACCTTTTCATAAAAAATAATAGTTCATTTGGTGAAAAGCACAGCAACAGCATGTGCACATGATGCATACTGTTCACTTACTAAGGCATAACAGTCCTATTATGCTGTCCAGTCACAAGCATGGCACATACACTGTCCATTGATGCTCAAATCAGGCTGGTAATAACCATTCAAATTCAAGATTTTGACATAGTTTTGATTATGTCCTCCATATCCTATCTTATATTTTACAGTTGTGTGCTTACTTTTTAAGCCTTTAAAAGAGGGTAAAACTGGACATCTGGACAAGATTGACTAAAACCTTAAGACCTTAAAAAATGTTAGGTAAATTAAGCACACAGATGTAGAATAGAATATACAACAGCTCATATTTGTTGGATTTTGTTGAATTGCTTTTGTCATTTCAAGCTTAAGTGGACTCTACTCAATAAGCAAGTTTACGAAGCCATTACTGTATATCACTTTCACCAGAGATCTAAATTTAAATATTGGCGTTAAGAGCCATTCGTTAAGATTCTGGTTACAATACTTAAAGCTGAAATCCAAATTACACTATTTTCTCTCAATATAAATTGGTCATAAGGGTCGGGCCAATCAATCAATTTGATCACTTGAAAATAATTACGCTTTTAATTTATCATAAGCACAAAAATTAAATTATGTACACATGGACTTAACATTTTTCTTACAATCGAGATGAAGAACAAGTTTGAGGACAAAAATAATAAGAAACTTACAAATTTGGAAAATGATATTTGGGAATCTGATCTCCAGCAAATCCAGCTTTGATGACTCCTGATCCCTATTAGATTGAAATCAAGGTTAAAATACTAAAAATATTGACCTATAAGAAGTTACCTACACCTGATTTCAATACAGAACTCGATACAAGCCTTAAAAAATTGTCAGTCTTCCCGAGAACGATATCGTTGACAAGAATATGACATACATTATCTATGACAATAGGCTGATTTGCTATCACGTCAAATTGGTCCATCTTGCCACAGAAAATAAGTACTATTTACACTATCCTCAGAAAAACATAGAGCTCGGTTCAGAATGTAAAATGGCGGACAACCCTTTTTTTCCACGTGACAATTTTCGACCAATCATTAGGCTGTGAATCCTACAAATCGATTTCTATTTGACCAGCGGTTCTCCACATTAAATATTATTACAAAATGTCCAAGATGGCGGCGAAATTAAGACAAGGATCATGGAATTTATTGGCCGAAATCGGAGCACGAATGATCCTGTTTGCAATATTTATGTAAGTCTTTTGTTTACTTATTGTTTTTTCGTAAAATAGAAACAGCTCTTTTAACGAAATACCGCCTTTCCACGTCCAATTTCATTCAATTCCATCGGCCAGAAAGCCAGCTGTCGACAGTTGTGCCGAAAAACTTCGTTACTATGCCTCCCTATCGCCAGAGAACGAATGCTCCATTTGATGCCTGTGATTCTTTTATTTTGATTTAACCCGGGGTCAATATTTCAAGCATATTCTAAAGGTAATAGATTAGTTGCTAAATATATGAATAGTTGTGACATCTAACCTGTAGAACTGACCAAGTGACCGTAAATCATTGATTTGATCAACAAATTTTGCTCATGTGGCCACCGATTGCTTCCTTCATTAGTAAGATCCTTCCGAATCAGTTCGTTTGATAGTATGGTCAAGTCTCTATGCTAACCAACAGAAAATGCAGTGTCTCAATAATTATGTAAAAAGACACGCAATTTCAAACGGATGTTTGTGGACTGGACAGAACTACAGAAGTTTCCCAGATTCTCCGAGATGACACTTTGAAAACTTTGAAAACTTTCACACAAAACAGTTTGAAAACACAACTTCTTTGCTTAATTCCAAATGCAGTGACAAATTCAGTTTAACTTATCCATTACCTATCATTATCTGTACGCATGTAAACCATCATGAGCTATATTACCATAGAATTACGGTCAACTCGCCGACGGACCAACTCGCCAACATTTAAAATCGAGTAGAGACGTCGGCAAGTTGGTCCTCAATCCAATACAACTTATTAGAAGTTAAACATACAGAAAAGTAAATGATATTTAGTAAAAAACACTGGTGAACATTGGTGAACATCAGACAGAAGCTTAAACATTGGTGAACATTGGTGAACATCACCAATGACTATAACAGCTTAAGACGTGAACGAGATAAATTGTGCGACAACAACGCCGTAAAGACTCATCATGTCAATCGCTCAGATTTTTTAAAGAAAACTTGGCTCTCTAGACAAGATCTTTAGTAAAAAGCAATTCTTTCTGTTTGCAACAAAGTTTATAAGGATCTCAAGGCGAATAAAGCGAAGTAAACATCACCAATGACTCTAACTGCTTCAGACGCGAACGAGTTATTGTGTGACAACAACACTGTAAAGACTCATCATGATAATCGGAGATTTTTAAAGAAAACTTGGCTTTCTAGACAAGATCTTTAGTAAAAATCAATTCTTTTTATTTGCAACAAAGTTTAATTAAAGGGATCTCAAGGCGAATAAAGTAAAGTAAACATCGCCAATGACTATATCCGCTTTAGAAGCGAACAAGTTATTGTGTGACACCAACACCGTAAAGACTCATCATGTCAATCGCTCAGATTTTTTAAAGAAAACTTGGCTTTCTAGACAAGATCTTTAGTAAAAAGCAGTTCTTTTTATTTGCAACAAAGTTTATAAGGATCTCATGTCAATCGGTCTTATTTATTTAAGTCAAGTCGCTTGGTAAAAAGTCAACGCACAAACGGTGTTGTTGTCACAATAATTATCTCGTTCACGTCTGAAGCGGATATAGTCATTGGTGATGTTTACTTCACTTTATTCGCCTTGATATCTTTATAAACTTTGTTGCAAATAGAAAGAATTGCTTTTTACTAAAGATCTAGAAAGCCAAGTTTTCTTTAAAAAATCTGAGCGATTGACATGATGAGTCTTTACGGTGTTGTTGTCGCACAATAACTCGTTTGCGTCTTAAGTTGTTATAGTCATTGGTGATGTTCACCAATGTTCAAGCTTCTGTTTGATGTTCACCAATGTTCACCAGTGTTTATTTTTACTAAATATCATTTACTTTTCTGTATGTTTAACTTCTAATAAGTCGTATTGGATTGAGGACCAACTCGCCGACGTCTCTACTCGATTTTATACGTCGGCGAGTTGGCATCGGCGAGTTGGTCCGTCGGTGAGTTGACTGGATACCTTACCATAAGCAGAAAAATTAGAATATGTTATTGAATAGTCTCACCATGTAAAAGAGTGGTGGAAAAATCAAGAACACACTTAAATTTTGCAAAAATATTCTTGGGTTTCAAAGTACTGCTAAAGCATAGGGTAATATTTATACAGTGTCAGGTGGGAGTAATAGACACTTTTTTTGTTAAGCTTACAATCATTTTTATCTCTTCTCAGGGCATTGGAGTATACTTCTGCATTTGTGCGTGTCATTCATGAGGAAGAGATGTGGCTGTACAAGAACCCTAAATCCAAAAACACAATCTCAACAGAAATGCTTTTTGTAGGTTACTGTTTTATGTTTTTATCAAGCTAATAGATACATGCCTTCAACTGCTACATGTATCGAAGTTTAATTAAGGAGCTAAAGAGGACTAAAGAGCCATCAGGGCTGAAACAATTAATAACTCATGGTTTCTTCTCTCAAAAGCCAATTTGACTATTTCATAGACTGACTTTATTCAGTTTAAATCAGTGGTCTGAATCAATGAAATAAGCCAATGTTGCTTTTGAAATGTAAATTATAGAATCTGACTCATATAGACATCATTCATATATGGTGGTTCTAATTTCTGTTCTTAACTATTCATCTACATTAGCCTTTCTGGCATGGATAAAACACTGAAAAATAATCCTATTTTTCCTCAAAAGCAAAGGCAAGAGGGCTTATTTACAAACAGCCAAAAGGAACTTAACCATGCTTCCATTTTAAGAGAGGTCTATCTTAAATGTTATAGAAAGCCTTGCTTAGTGATACAGTATGATAGTTGATGAAAGTTTGTTTATTCATCCACAGATTTGTAAGAACTGTCTATATGGTTCCCTGTTTATTTATTTTCTGTTTTTGGCAGGTAATAGGTGCAGTTCTTCCTGCTGTTTTAATCCTTTTTCTAGCAGCATTAAGAAAGGACAAAGTTGATGGTACACAAGCTATTTTAGGTAGGAGTAACACTCACTTCTTCTTCAAAATTAACTAACGTTCTGTTCTTACTTTTGTCCACCAATTGGTATCCCTCATATCATACCGCCACATTTATTGATCTGTGTATTTATCATCCTTGTTTGCCTTCCAGCTCTAACATTAACTCTTGGACTCAATGGAGTTGTGACAAACATAGTGAAAATTCTTGTAGGCAGGTAAACATTTATGTCAGATTTAAATTTCTGTGAAAGTACTTGCAGAGGGATTTCACTGTGCAATTTGTTTCCAGTTGAATATGACTTCTCTTACCTTTACTACATCTGTACAAGAGAAGCAAAACCTACTCATTACTTAGCTTCTAATTATTTGAAACAAATTTGATTTTGTAGAGATTCTTAATATAGAAATACCATGACAAGTTCTTACTTGCTTGAGTTGTTGATCCAGGCCTCGTCCGGATTACTTCTGGCGTTGTTATCCAAATGGAGTTATTCCAGCAAGTACAGAGTGTGACGGCAACCCTGATGAAATAATTGAGGGCAGAAAAAGTTTTCCAAGTGGCCATTCTTCATGTAAGTTGTCATTTATAGGCAGGAAAGGAGTATTGAAAAATAACAGATCTCTTACCAGGAACTCTATTTTTCTGATAAATAGACTTAGCTTAAAATTCATAAAGTTGAGGAAAATCTTGTTGTCAGTAAAGTGGGAAAAAAATCTAGTGCTATATCCTCTATATGTTTGGTGATAGGCAAAGGTGACCCATGGTGAGCTTGCTGGACTGTGGATCAAAAGGTTCTGGTTTGAACTTGTAAATTTAACCACAGTCCCATTGCTGCCAAGAAACTTCACTCTCACACTACCACTTTCCCCCAGGAAGGTAAATGATTACCACAGAATTGTTAAGGAAACTTGATAAAATCTTGAGGTTACCTATTCTGGAGCACTATTCCTTGGCAGAGAAGGAACTAGGTATTAGTTCTGGGAATAGCGGGAAAACTTTCTACAACATAGGCCATTTAGCTCAAAAGCCATACTTAATGTCTTTATTGCATGTATACAATTTAGATCACTGCCTCTGCTTTTTTTTGTTGGTGGAATTGCTTAATTTGTCATGCTTGTGTATTGCTTCAATTTGCAGTTGCCTTTTGTGGCCTTGGCTTCATCTCACTTTATCTTGCGGGAAAGTTACACTGCTTTCAAGCTCAGGGAAGAGGACAAGGGTGGAAACTGTGCATTGCTCTAACCCCTTTGATAGCTGCCATGGCATTGGCACTCACCAGATATTCAGACTATCGCCATCACTGGCAAGGTATACTAGACAGTAGAAAGGTGACAATCTCAGGGTCCCCAGGCCTTGTGGATAACTATTTCATAATTCATACAGGGAAGTCCTGGAAGCTGTAAAAAAAAAAAGGCATCATGGCTCTCAAAAGTAAATCTACTGTTAATTTCAAATAAATATATATATTTTTTGCTGTTGTTGATTGGAACTCCTTGTTACAGTGAAGAGAGACATTTTCCAATGTCGTTTTAAAATCTGTTTTGTCATGTTTTTTTCCATATTCTTATTTGTGCGAAATATATGTCTCAAATTTAGGATTTGAATGGAATATCATATAACAAATCAGTTCAGAGCTCTAAGATACTTGTGCCTTGAAATTTTCTTTTATGAGAAAGTTGAGCAGGAGAGAGAGAATGATTTACAATGAACGTATCTTCCTTCCGACGTGCAAGCAATCCAAACAATAGACTGATCTTGTACAGTTTGACGAGAAATGAGAAACGGGAAGCAAATAATTCGCTCATAGATGTAAGCAGGAACATGGTCGAAGAGCTTTGACATAAAAATTAAGTTTAATTGTCTTCTGATCACTATCATTTTTCCACAGACATAATGGTTGGTACCATGATAGGTGAGTTACATTGTTACCAGCCACTTAGCCGACTTGTCAACTCGTCGACAACCAATTCACCGACACCGTTAAAGTCAACTCGCCCACACCAGTCAACTCGCCGACTTCAATTTGCCAACACCGGTCAACTCGCCGACACCAACTTCTGGTACTCAACAGGTTACCAAAGACCAAAGGCGACTGTCGGCACGTCGATATAAGGTGTCGGCAAGTTGACCAATGGTGTAGGTTGTCAGTTGGTTGTCGGTGAGTTAACTTGTTGGCAAAGTGACTAGACATCGTATTGAAACACTACTTGTTTTAAAATGTAACTTTCCTTCGTTGAAGAACTAGGGATTCAGTTGTGATTGAAAAAAAAGTCATTTAAAATGCAAGTGTTTTATCTCTTCTCATCTGTTTTGCGTTGAGTATTGTTTGAAGATTTCTTGATATCGCATTTCCTGAAATCGGGAACGGAACTGTTCATTTTTCACTAAGTTCGACAAAGAGTTTTGTATATGAAGAAGATAGGTATTATGAGTCGTTTTTTCCACGTCATTCAAAGCACCCCCAACTTGAGGAATAACGTAGAGTTTTTAGCTTTCTGTGTTATAAATACACAAAAAATTAAGAATTACAGCAAAAAGGAACTATTGTGGTTACGAATGGATGAGAATCAAATGGATGAATTTGATAATATTAGACTTGAATTTTTAGGATGGACAAACCGTGACGGTTTTCTTTAGGAGTGTTGTGTCAGCGGGTTCCACTGCAGTACACCTTGCAAACATGAGGTGGTGTTCTTAAAAACTTTTCTTTGTTCCAGGTTTGTTCTTCGCCTATCTTTGTTACCGACAGTATTACCCAGCGCTTAACAGACCTCATTGTCACATGCCATACTGTGCCATCATGCCGGTTAAGTTTGTTGGTGATGAACATGATCACATGTTACCAGTGACAGTTCGAGAGATCAAGAATGTTCATCCTATTGTGACAAAATCTCTTTGACTACAGCTGAATTAGATGTACGAGATGCAAGAAATATACGTATCGAGAATGGTTTCTTCTTATTTGGAATTTTACTAGATAACCTACAGAGATGTAAAGTTAGATTACGCCCCCTCCCCCGTCGAGTTGTTTCAGGACGAGTCTCATGCATTCGCAGTTTAAAAATTACACCTTGTACACTGGCAAAAAGAACGTCACGTCAAAATTCTTGTTCCCTGAAAATTCCTTTCCATAAGAGTTTTAGAAATTCAGATGGCTATCGGCTTTAAAATATATATTTTCAGATTTAAATTGGGAAAAATTTGATTGGAAAATTGTCTTCAGAACTAGGGCTGGTTGACGTACGCTTTTCCTGAAATATAACAAGAAGAATTTTTGATGGGGTATATTTATTTCACGAAATGTATTTTAAATACTAATAAACCAAAGAAGACGTAATACCTGGCCAGTCAATAAAAGATACAAGTAAGAATGCGTGTCTATTCATCTGTTCAAGGAGGTAGCGTGGGGGGGTGTCCCTGGGGTGTCCGTGTCCCCCCCTTTCCTAAGCCTTTTTTGTCACATTGACTGAATGAAGTAAGGCATGAAAAATTCTTGGCGACGCCCTAGTTGTCTATGTCACATTGGGGGAGATTCCACTTTTGAGGATGTTTTAGCTTCCTTCACAACTCAGTTAAGCTGGAATTATGTTGTCTGGCGCTTCGAGGCTTCTATATTCCCCCGGGCATTTGCCTCACCAAATTTTAATGTCGAAGGCAAAATCAGAGACTGTGTCTCTCCACACATTGACCAAGCTTTGAAACCTAGACCTTGAAGACCTTTTCTTTCGAGCCATTCGCTCGCGAAAGTGTAAACTAGTATTATCAACTGAGTTGATAACTTCGATCTGACGATGAGCTAAATACTTGGCCTACCTGGCTAAATACGATGGCCAATTTACGCTATCAACTCATTTGACAATACTAAATTACCCTGTTGTACTCTTCCACCGACGTAGCACTACAGTTTCGTTAGAAACTTAACCCCTTTGCACCTAAAAGTGAACTGCTTACCTTTAAGACCTTCATACTTACGGATACAACAATTTAATTGTTCTAGAGAGTCTTGACACTTCCAGTTCAAATTTCCCACCCTGGCCAGGCAAGATTCCACGGTCCCATTCCCGTGGGTTGCCCGGGAGGGGGATGTTGAAGCTTCTAATTGATCGGCCCAAAAAAAGTTACACAGCTTTCAAGCTCAGGGAAGAGGACAAGGGTGGAAACTGTGCATTGCTCTAACCCCTTTCATAGCTGGCATGGCATTGGCACTCACCAGATACTCAGACTATTGCCATCACTGGCAAGGTATACTAGACCGTAGAAAGGTGACAAGCTCAGGGTCCCCAGGCCTTATGGATAACTATTTCATAATTCATACAGGGAAGTCCTGGAAGCCGTAAAAAAAAAAAAAGGCATCATGGCTCTCAAAAGTAACTCTACTGTTAATTTCAAATAAATATGTATTTTTTTACAATAAGCAGTTCCCGTCGACAAGCGGTCGGAACGAAGATAGTTTCTATAGCAAAGAAAACGACGTGTTCGCGTGTGACACTCCAATAAGTAAATTAACGGCTTTAAAGAAGACCTGAACGAAGATAGCACTCTTCTTCTCCACTATCTCAATCCAAATGTCTTTAAAAGGAGCTAATAAAAATTCAAACGTTAAGTCACGAGAAAGTTCGAGGCTATTCTTCCAGCGCTCTAAGCACAAAGCCGCGGTGAATCGGGGACTATCATAAACCGTTACGTCACCGAGTAAGACTCCCTAACCTCTTTCAGACTTCGCACGGACAACGAAGTGAGAGAAAACATAATACTCAGTGCACTGTATCCTATGTGGCCTGCGTACAAAGCAGGGGAAGGGGTGGGGAAGTAATGCGAGTGCGAAGCGTGATCGTTAAATCTACTCAGATCAAAAGATCCTGACGAACGCGCCCTGCGCTCGCACCTACCGCTTTTTCCGCAGCCAAGCAGGCTAACACTGCACCAGTCTGCTTGTCACGAGATCATGCTGATAGATAACAAGGCCGTTACGAAAGAAAAAAGACAAATATAACGCAAACGTCTGTCTATTTACCATACTAACACGCAAAGCTAACAAAATGTAAACTGTAACTATACTAAGTTTCAATCCTCGGTCAATTTACATTTAACAGTCTCTGTAATAAAGAAAAAAAACTCGACCCTGTGCTCAGTAGTAATGGGTGCCAATATAGAGGAGAGCCAATCAGAATCGAGTAAATAGCCACGTGACTTGAATTGACCAATCAGATTGCCGGATTTCCGGATTTAAAACCACGGAGGCGCCTGGAAATGATAGAATGGAATCTGGAAATCCGGCAATCAATTCAAGTCACGTACGCTATATACTCGATTCTGATTGGCTCTCCTCTATACTGGCACCTATTACTACTCTGCTCTTACTTTTAAGAATAAAGAAACAAAGAAACACAACGATTTAAAACAGTAAAATATCAATTTCCATTTCGACATGAATTTTTTTTTTAACGAACTGTGGTCAAGACTGTCCATCATGCTACCGCGGTTATTCTGGCTCGAGACAGCTTTTGAGGGACTGATGAACGAATATTTAGATTTAAAACTGTCTAAAAAAAAAGTCTGAAAAAAAAAGCCTATAAAACTGAACGATCACTGATTATGAAAGGACCTATATTCACTTCAACAATTGCCGAAAGCACCGTAAGATGTATACCAACAAATTATAAGACAGGAAGTAAGGGGGAACGTAGCCTGCGAGCAGGGCCACGCCTCGTGTGTTTCTTCGCTCGCGGGAAGTAAGAGGCCTTGACCCCGAAAAAACTCGCCCCGACTCGTCTCAATTCTTCACACCAGCGGAGAAACGCGCGTCCAACAACTCGCAGGCTAGGCGGAACATTGTATTCTATGTAAACCTTCGCCATTCGTCAACTAAAATTGTTCTTTCTCTTCGTGATCATAACGCAAGCCGCATGATTCCGCCAGGCACTCTTCGCAAACTCTCTTAACAACGACTCCACCTATCAGACTGATCGTAAGAGGGTGACCATGGAAACTGAACCGGCAAGAATGCAGTAGGGTGTACAGCGGGTAACCATGACAACTGATAGGGAACGGTAACGTTGACAGGAACAAAAGGCGCTGCAAATTGTGGAATACCGTTCACCATGGACACTCCTGGAAAGTCAGTCATGATACTATTCCACATAACTTGACTCTTTATATCAGCGATTTGAAATCTGTGGGTGACAAAAAGCTTTCCAGTGAGCCATCTCACAGCTTCTGTCTCAAAGTGAGAGTAAGTTGAAGGCTTGTAACAAGAAAATGACTTTTTTACTCGCTGCAAATGTTATTCATTTACAAAGTTATTTTTAGCACTTAGCCCCATTTTGAAATTGAGGGTATCTAGAACTCGGAAGTTCTTTTTAATACTTTAGTTTATAAAATCTGAGTCGTATAGGACTTATGCGCGGAGGCTGACATCGACAAAGTCGTTTAGCCAGTTAGAACAAGAAGGCAGATTTTTCAACTAATCAGGATAAACCTTGAACTTAGTCAAGAGTTGAATGAGGAGGGTAAGTTTCTTAGGAAACTGTCGTGCGGTTATTTGGTATTATCAACTGAGTTGATAGCGTAAATTGGCCACCGTTAAGAGTTTCAAAGCGGACGTTTCGAGTGCTAGCCCTTCGTCAGAGCGAATGGAGAATGTCCCCCTGCACTCTGACGAAGTGCTCACGCTTGAATGTCAGCTTTAACACTCTTAACGGTAACCAATTTACGTTATCTACGATTCAGTTGAGAGTACCAAATTACCTTGCTAGTCAAGAGTTGCTTCTTCAGCGCTGTTACGACTGTATGACATGTTTTCTTGTCGCTTTTCCTACTTGTTTTGTCTTCTTCTAAATTCACATTAAAAAAACTGTTGGGTTATTTCCTGTTGCTAAACCTACGCCACATATTTCAATGTTTAGTATATACTAAAACGGCAGATAGCGTTTAAGGCGCGCTCTGATTGGCTACTCCGTATATCCTTTGATATTCGCCTCCAAGCAACTCTCACGGAATTTGCGCCCGAAAATTTTGCAGGAATAGATGAGTTAAAATTATCCTTTTGTGCTATATTATCTCACTTCTTTAGTATATACTGACGCAACGATTCACCTCAGTGTGACGGTGGCTAGGGGTGGATGTTTACCTCGCCGCTTTGTCAAAAACTAGCCACCTTCACTTCGGTGAATAGTTCTAATTATTACATTTTCAGATGGAATGTGCGATGTGTTTCATTGCACCAATACAACCGACTTTTTGGACAACAAAAGTTACAGCCAACATCGTTGCGATTGCTTGATACCTTTGAGGTTGTTTCTGCCCTTGAGCTGCGTTGAGAGATAAAGCAGATGCGCTTCTCCCTGATATGGCGACGTCTTTTCTCGTTTTCTGTAGTGTTTTTCTCTGCCAAAGATTCTTCTTCTTCTTTTTGGGATATTTTAATAAGTGGCGGTTTCGGAGACGTCTTCGGGCGTTGGCAAACCAGGTCTTTAGCTTAAACGAAAATAACAGAAACGGTTCCAAAGTTTTCTTGATTCTTTCGATTATATTTGTTTTCACCGAAAGTGTTTCAAATCGCTTGTTTGGGTTTACGCAATTCGAGGATAGTTTCATTATGTCACCGAGGGAGAAAGGCCGATGTTGTATCAATTGGCGTGCCCAGGGATAGGTCACGGCTTGAACATCGAACAAATTTAAATTTAATGAATTTCTGAAAAAAAATTATTCAAGTTCATTGTTTGCCCCAAGCTTTAATCTTCTCCATCCTTAGCTATCCTTGTTTCTTCTTGTTTTTTATGTTAATTATTTTTTGTTTCTATCTACTGGGAGGGCTTGAAAACTAGCCTCAGGAGCGCGAGTTTTTTAGGGTGTCTGTGGCCATTCTCCCCCAGAAAATATTGTAATTGCGATCTCGGAGGATAATCTGTGGTGAATTGGGTTTTTTTCGTATAGTTCTCTTTCATTCGTCATACGTACTTCATGCTAAACAAAAATATTGATATTAAATCTGTACGGCTCCGCTGCCCTAATAAGGAAGTCACGTAACACATCCGTTGACATGCCTAATGGGAAGTACACTAATAGTGACGTAGCCCTTTTAAGTTTTCTAGGGAAACCTAAACGCAGAGTCCTTTCTGATGTTATGGAATTTTCAATTCTCTGATCAATGTTTTTCTTTCTCTTTTTTACCCTGATACTCTACCTGAGCTAAAGTAATTCCGTGCTGCTCGGCTAACATAAGTTTCTCAGTTGAGTCAGGGTAGGGATTCCTGATGCGTTGCATGAGCCACGCCTGTAGTGCTTTATAGGTTTCTCTGGGAATTCCTTTCTTCTTGCGAAAACCTGAAGGGCAGATGCTCCGCGGAGGTGGGAACCTGTGGATAACAAGTAAATTAAGGATTTCTAAACCTCGACCTGTCCGTTAGCCGTAAGCTGGCGCGTGGTAAGGGTACATGCTGTAATTGTCCAGTTTGAGTGTGGGGTGGGGGCACTTACAAGCATTTCACTGTCAACTGAGTAGGAGGGGAGAGGAGGGGAGGGAGGGGGGGGAGGAAGTGAGAGAAGGCAGGTTGTTTTTATGGTATGAAAAGCGGGTAAAACGCATACCAAGATCTCCTTCAGTGTCCCCTTGATTATTATAACGGAATTCATGATACAGGCGAACCTCTCCTTAACTGCCACCTTGGAAATTGTGAGGGCGGCCGCTGCAGAGGACTGGCATTTGTAGGGTGGAAGGGGACGTAATGCAACAGTTTTTGTATCTATTATTGAATGGGTAGAACATCTTTATTCATATCTAATGGTTGTCGTCCAAATTAAATGGACGTTTCCGTTGTGAAGAGATAACCGTTCTAAGAGTACCCACCACCAGGAAAGAAAAAAAGTAATTACTGTGGCTTGCCGGGTTAGGTTCTGGCACTATAGCTTCATGGACAAGCTACATATGTCCTGCTTTTGCTTCTCCGTACATGATGCAAGTTTTTCACAGTATCATAGAACAGTCTATCTGCTATTCGATCTGTTAAGTTCATCAGATTCAAGTTAAGGGAAAACATCCCGTGTACCACACGAACAAAGGAAGTGCTTTACTGTAAGACTATGGCATGTTAATTATTATAATCCATCAAGTTCTTTGCCCGTCTACGATTGGTCTAAACTCACCACCTGATCGAAGGTGCTTCTGCTATACTCGTAACCCGCCTAGGTGGGGTCACCCGCCTGTCCATATAATTTCTTATTTTATTTTGATCACGTTTACATGATGGGTGGGGTGACCCGCCTTGGCGGGTCGCCTAGTCTGCCAGGTAGGGTAACCCTGTCAGCCGGGGTGACAATTTGCCATGTAAACGTTCAAGGTGGGGTAACCCGCCTAGACGGGGTCGCATTCATGGCAAAAAGCTCAAAAGCGAAACATGTATTTTTAAATCTTTGTACATTTCCTAGCCGTCTCCTGGCAGAAATCACCACAAACCGCAACGGACACACAAGGAGTGTAAAATGTTCACATTTCAGAATATTTAGCGTTGTAAATCGACCATATTTGGTTTCCCAAACTATTCTGTAGAACGTATTAAATCAATAGTTCCTTGCGAAACCAAACACCGCGTAACACAACGCGTGACGCTTTCATGAATAAATACATATGTGTTCGAGAATTAATCTTTCGTGTTTCTCGAGATGTGAGCTTGGGACGCCTCTGCTCAAACTCCTTAAATGCAACCGCAACAACAACCTCAAGAAACCTCACCCCAGCACCCCGGGGTTGTAAGATTGCATGTAAACGCGTTTTATTTTTCGACCACAGCTAAGCGGGTTACCTCACCTAGCTGGGGTCCCCCACCTCCATGTAAACAGGCCCTAAGTAATAAATTGATAATCCTAAATTATCAAACCTTGCGTCGACTACGATAAAGAATTCGTTGAAAATTTAGTTCAAGATGAAACCTTGTTTAGCTATTGTTACTGTATAAATGATATGTTTGTTTGTTCATAAAGCCGTATCAGAGAACAATCCAAAGTAAACATCCCACGCGCAAAAAAAAAAAAAAAAAAAGAAGCAAATTAATTGTAAAAATTTTACCTGCGCGTTGCAAAAATATTATGAGGTTAATAGACACAGTAGCTTCCATTTGGCGCGAAAATATGCACGGATATTTGTTCAAAGACATTATCTGTTCCGAGATGCAAACAATTTTCCGAGAGCGAAGCTCGAGGGACACTGTGAGCTTCGAGCTATTGTCGACATATCGGCTGATATAAACGCAAATTACTCAGGTAAAATGATAAATCAAGAAGATAATCCGAAAATTAGTTACTGCAAATAAAAATGACAAATCAAGTGTACAGTACTCTAACTTTTCTTCATTTCCTTGTCGAGAAGTATTACAGACGGTATAAAAATTGGACCTTTGGCTGATGAATACACCATTTATATTTTACTATGCTCGTCCTCATTTACGCTTCCATTTTTTTAAGTAATTCGATTCCTCTAGGGTTAATCTATATCTCGATCAAAGCTGTGCGACATACCTTGGAGACGGAAAGATTCTGCACCGATGTATATCACTTCTAAACTGAAATTCACACACGACTATTTCCTTTTTTTCTTAAAGATATGATAGAAACGAAGTAAAATCCTTAACGGCCTTATCAAAGTCTATATGTAAATAGAGAATATGAAGAAACCTATCAAATGTGAAAAACCCCCATCAGTCACTTTCCAGAATCTTTTAGAGTATCTCTCAAATAAATCAAACTCTAGTATCATTATCGCTTTTTCTTTTGAACTCGAAGATGTACCGTGAAGGTCGCACTTCAATTTTATTACTTGGTGCCTTCAACAAGCTGAGACCAATAAACTAAATTGTCAAACAAACCTTTGTCGCACGCGAAATCTTTGGACTGCAGTTCTCGCTTTTGCTTCATAAACATGAGCTTCGTCCCATATTTCAATAAGATCGTCGCCTTGAGAGAATGTCCCTTCCTGGATATGAACAAATTCCAAGCAGAAATTAGAACGCGAAACTAACAACTTACAACTGCTGCAAGATACAAAAAAAAACGCAGCGTACCACATCAAAGCGAAAATGTAAACAATTACGGTCCAACTACCTCTATGAGCTTATACACCGCTTGGATGTCTTTTCTATGCCAGGCTAGGGCAATTTTTGCCCGAATAATCTCTTCATTCTCCTGATATTCTGGACTGTTAGGTAGACGAAGCAGCAAATTTTCGACTTCAGCATATTTTTTACAATGAACAAGACGCTTAGCTCGCGTGCTCCAGTATGTTAAATTATCACGATTGGTTAATTCGAATAATGGCTTCATGGTTATTAAAGACTTAATCTGTAGGCAGGAGTTGCCAACCAAAGGCACTATTCAAGCAGACTACTGTTCTAACAGTTTCAGCGTTGATTGTGGAAAAGTTCGTCTCGTGGGAATAGCGCCTTCCTATTGGTTGACAGTACGTAAAGGTGTCGATCAAACCAACCACATGCTCGGGAATGATATTACAAATGGTAGAATAGTTATGGGAATTGAAGAGTGTGGGGTAGAAAACGAGGAAACAATCAGCCCATGACGTGGATTTGGAAATCTCGTAAAAAGATTTTAAAATCTTTCGCTTCGTGCGTACCTACATAACAGAACTGACAGGATTTGATAATACTTTATTCACAACGATGCGGCATACAATCTCTGTTCGGTTGATAATTCAGGTGACGTTTGAGAGAAAACTTAAAAAAAAGGAAAAAACTGAGCCATATCCATGCTTGGTCACATGATATAGCATACAAGGCTCTTACTCCCGTGAGCGACCATGACAGAATTTCTCTGAACGACATCAATACAGTAACAAGCAGGCGAATGATAAGAACAAAGATAAATATCAATTAGGGGATGATTAGTTGATCCGGTACCAAATTCTCCAAACTAACATCGTAAGAATTGTATGACAGACAGTAAGGAGAATTACTTAATGAGATCCTGAGTGTGAAAGGGTTAACTAACTGAAACCAGGTTTGCAATCCCAGAAGTGCTAACAAATATATAGAAAGTCCGATGAATCTACTGGAATTAAGACTGAGGTGGTTATTCCACGTTTTACTCATCGCGATGAACGGAAAAATGCTAAATCAAACTTAACGTCAATACGTTGCAGAGTTGTTTCTTCATTTTTGCTATAGGACCTAGTTTAAAATGCGGATAATTTTCGATAGGTTTAGACTCCTATTGTTTAATGTGGCAAAGTAGATACCTGTCTTGATTTCAGAGTGTTAAGAATAAAACTTTCAAGAAGGCTGTGTAAACTTGAAAGAATTTGGTCCTTTGTATTTCAAGTATCCTCACAGACAAATCGTTTGAAATTTGCCCTCTCATTCCAATTTTGGCTTTCCTACATGCATGTTCCTTTTGTTTCTTTAGTCATAAGTTACTATTTCAATATTTAACCTTACTCAGTTATATCTTAAAATTTCCTTAAGGTTTGAGCGAACTAGGTGTGGCCTATTGACGGTCAGAACACATTCAGCGACAATTCGCTACGTGTGACATGAGTTTTTTTTTTCATGAAAAGCTGTATCCCCTGGACAGCATTCTGTCCTTAAAACAAGTCGCAACGACGCGTTTTGCAGGCAGTGCTAACGGTACGTAAGGGGCGATTTGGAGTGGGACCTGCTGCAGCACATTGTCGGCTCGTGTGTTCCGCCCTTTAGGCTATTTTCTTGCTCGTCCTGAATACTAAGGACGCACCTGTGAAGAGCCTAGCCAGACCGAATATTGGAAGCAAGAATATAATAAAGGCCATCATGATAACAAAATGGCTGATACTTGTCCCAATGTCTAGCCAACTACCGCTATCCTGCACAAGGTAAAAGAAATGCAGTCCCATTAAATCCGTCATCACTAGCACTACCAACACTAGACTTTGAACTGGGATCGAGAGCACCACGTGTATTGCGTCGAATGCACATGCTACAATCACAAACGGAATAAGCACTTTACAGAGCAGTAAACTTCCCATAACGAAGGGCGAGAATACAGTCAGGAAGCAATAAACGGACGCGGGATCAAAGCTGTTTATACTAGCAATGTTTCCTGTTCCAAAGAAGGCCACTACGATAAAGAACACGAAGAAATAAGCGCAGCGAAGGTCCTCTAGAGTGAGTTTTCTCGTTACAGGGGTGTCCATGCCTCTTGTAAGCGCTTTCCAAGCTGGCTGATGAGTGCTCGTGGAGCTGTCGTTACTTAGTTGAGTTTCTAACAGCGCGTCAAGGGTTTTGCCAGAAAGTTTGTGCTCAGACAAAAGCCATGCACCCATTAGCAGCGAGAGGACTAACAAAAACAGGCCTTCATAGGCAGTACTCATCAATATATATAATGAGGAAAACGCTATAGCTATACTCGACAATCGGACCGTTAAATTACTCGAGTTGATCAGAGGTAACAGAAAAGACGATATAAGAATAGTCCAACTCCCAAGTTGGTTTACTAATGGGAGTCCGAGTTTTTGTTGTAGACTCGCTGCTGTACTGTTCACGATATAAATTGCTAATCCCGTGAGAAGTGCTTGAGGGAGCAGGATTTTACATGATTTTGTTAATTCTGTCCTAAGTGAGTAAGACACACTGGAAACGTAAAACAACAGGGACGAGAAAATGATTAAAGTTAAGAATCCTGCCGCAGACACCAAGAAATAGTTGGCTTCACGTCCGACAACAGGAAGAACAGGAAACACGGAGAGAGCGAAGTTGAGGATCAGCCAACCTGCTACAGATAGCCTGCAAGTTCTGTACAATTGAGTGGTGAAAGGCCACAGAGCAAGACAGATGAGACCAACAGAGAGAATCTCTCGCCTGAAGAAGCTCATGACTAGAATCTCTAACGAGAAACAACCGAACATGAAGGTAAACAGAACTCTATGCTGCAACTGTTTTGCACTGATATAGCTCCAAGCCGCTTTGACCACGTGAAGTCTCTTGGCAATGCGGTTCCAAAACACCAAGGGCAATAAGCAGTAGCTGTAATACATCCAAGGCGCTTTTTGAATAAACAAAAGAATTAGCGCGAGAAAAGCGAGGACCAAAGTTGCGGTGTTTAAAGGCACCGTCTCCACCATTGGCTGGACACTCCCTTTATCGAGTTTGGACGCCTCTTTGATGACTTCGCTATGATCTTCGACAATCTGTAGGATGATGCACGATATCCATCCCAAAAATCCAAGAGTAACCACTAAATTTAAGAAAACCCTGTCGTAGTTCTGGTAGTAATTGAGTCCTTCTAATGCAAGATTGATTAGACCTCTGCTTAGGCTCTCGGCTTCTTTATACTTCTTGGCTCGCATGAACTCTTTTATGTCACGAATCATTCCTGTTTTCTTTGCACCTATGTGACAAAAACAACAAACGAAAAACATCTCAATTTCCAATCGGTATTTGTAGAAGAACCAGTATAGTAGTCACACAGAGGGAGAGTAGGGAGGGAGGAGGAATGCGGCTAGGGGTTTGGGATTTCTGAGAGGGCCGATTGAGAGTGTGGGGTGTATCATCATATTATTTATTATGAAATGTTTCTTACTTTTTAAAATAAGTCCTCTAACATTGTTGCTGATCTGGTACAGACGAAGGGCTAACTCTTGAAAGGTCAGCCTAGAAACTCTTTGAGGTGGCAAATTTACATTATCAACTCAGTGCTCAAAACTAAATTTTCTTGTTATATCCTCCACCGATGCAGCATCATAGTTTCTTTGGAAACTTACCCCCTTTTCGTTTTGTTGGGGCCTCCTTTTATGTTGGCACTAAGAAAATAACAACCCCTTGCAGAATAAACTAAAAGGATTATACCTGCCAAGGAAGAGAAGGGCCGAAACCAGAGAGAAGTTTCCTTTCTGAACAATTCTTTCACATCATATTGAGCAAGAATCTGCTGTGAATTCATGAAGAGGTTTTCTGCAAGGTATTGCTCAGAGTTGTTGAGATAGTCCAATGGTAAAATTCCCACAGAGTTCAGAGGAAATGGAACACCTGATCAGAAAATAAACTGTGTTATCTGCTGCGGGATAATAGGCAAGTTATTGACAGAGACAAAAATAATGGTAAATGAAAGCTCAGCAGAGGAACAACCCCAATATACAGCCATCTTGACTGAAAAAAGTAGGTCGATGAAGGATTTATCCTGTGGCAAAATTAGGATAGCTTGCAATGATCATACTGTGCAAAAAGCTTACTTCATGCTGTGTTTTTATTTACTTGTTGAGTCAATGGAAAACAAGAAAATGAAATTATTCTTTTATAAAAAAAAGAGCTGTTTAAGCTGATGGATGTTGTTAAATACAAACCCACCAATCAGAGAAGTCATCAGTGGTGCAATATCAGCTTGATTGACATCTATTCTTTTCAGATGACCAAGATTCCACTTGATTGTCTCCTCGGCAATATCAACACCTTGTGCAGGAGCCATTGGTCCTTGTACACCAGCTCCCCAAGCTACTAAGGGAGTCAGTGTTTCGTGAGGATGTCCTGCCCCATGGGACCCCCAGTTAGTCATCCCATGATCAGCTGTCAACACAAATGCTGTTCGATGATCATGACCATAAAATTCTTCAATTAAATTTTCCATGTCTTTTATCCCTTTGTCCACAACAGCAATATTCCTAAGATACTCTTGGGAGGTTGGTCTGTGTGCATGGCCATTGGTGTCAATTCCTGAAAACAATCATAAAAGTCAAACAATACTTATACTGATAAAATGTAGGTAGACTTGATTTGATATAGCATTTTTCACAAAACTATGCTGCTCCTAAAGGTGGGTAAATTCATTAATTACCAAAAATATGAAATGGCAATGCCTAAGAACCCTCTGAATCATGAAGTGGTTATCATCTAGTGTTAAGTGTACAATTTTAAAATCCAGTGACACTCCAAGCTGTCTTCATTAGTTTTTAAACAAAATATTTCATGAAAGTTTAAGTGTTGGTACACATAAGGAAGAAAGAAAGATAAATGACTATTTGTGCAGTTTCCCAGTCATAATCCTGATGAATACTTTAAGACAATTTATCTTGTTATACTCCCTACCAATGCAGAACCACAGTTTCTTTATAAACTAGCCCCCTTTATTTCTATAAATACTACACTTGAGAAAGCACCATACCACTAATGGGTATTCAAAGGTCTTGAAAGAAACATTGTGTGAAACTACTTTACAACTACTTAATCACAAAAACAAAACAAAACAAAACAAAACAAAAACAAAAAACAAAACACAAAAAAAACCAGATACTTTGTATCTTACAGGTAAGAAGTGCAGGAGCAGTGAACAATGCCACATCTTTAAGAAACCTAGTGGTATTTATGGAAAGCACTTACCTAGAAGGTGAAAGAAAAAAACAATTTTCTCTTCATGAAGCATCCTCTTCAAAGTTTCATTATTCATTGAAGCACTAAAGAACTTTCTTACTTCATTAAACACCCAAGTATCAAGCTTAGCAGCATCCTCATTTGCAAAGTCTTCTGCAACATCTTCATACATGGATGTAAAAACATGGTTTCCACTGGCTCCCTTGGCAAACATTGGCAGGATATCAGGGCTTCCCCAAGACCATGTGTATCTGCTTTCATTAAAGGTAGAATCAAACTCCACTGGGTTCTCTTTCCAACCTAGAAAAAGGAAGCAACATATAGTGTGGTGAGTAATCCATAGCAGTAAAAATAGAATTGTAATTTGGGAGAGGCCTTAACTCTTTGACTCCCTAAGAGTGACTAGCTTCTCATTCTCCTTGCAACATCACTTCTGAATAAAGGAAATTATCACCAAATAAAGAAGCTCTTGATTGTCAAACAAATCCTCCTTCTCTGCACCTTAGGAAACACTACAGACCTTTGGGCGTAAAGGGTTAACTACTGTTTAAATCAATGGCATCATCTGGGATAATATTATCCCTACTGATGCCATCGATTTGTCAAAACTCAGATTTTTAATGTTTGATTCAAACAGTGTGGTTTTAGGCCTCCATCCAAATCTCTTTAATATGCTGAAAATAATTTTTTTTTAAATCATTTGAAGAGTTTTGATAGTGACATCCATCAAAATCAAAGTAACTCTAGCCAACCTCTAGCCTGCATGGCTGGTATATACATGTAAAGGGGAGAGAAGGGGTAAACTAGGCCTTCTACAACCACAATCTCAACATCAGTTCTCCCTACTGTCTGCTATACATTTCCAATAACTTTCCCTTTGAGAATTTGGTGTTCAATTGAACAAAATTCCCTTGTTTATTATGCTTTTCTTTCTTCTGATTACCTGTCTGCTTGACTAGGTTAAGATATTGTTAGGAAAAAATACTTGTTGATCACTTCTAGGAGGGAAAAGACTGACTCAAGGGGGAAGCCCAAGTTTTGGAATATGGGTGGGAATAGCTAAAAGACGGCTGTTTTCTTTTTTTTTTATTATTTAACTGGAAGCTGGAACATAAAATCCTACTTGATAAGAATTTGTTTATTTGCTCTGGTTGGTCAGGTATGTAACACTAAACAACAAATTCTGAATTCTTGATTTAAATTGCATGAGTCCCATATTATCATTTTGAGCAACTTGTCCAAGAACACTTCTTTCATTGGAAGGCAAAATTTTCAAAATGCGAGTCCACTGAGGAGAAAAGAAATGGAATCAACACTTGTTTGAAGGAAAAGATCATAAACACATACAAGTTTTGTATTTGCATCCATTCATAATATCCATGATAGTATTTTGGAGGAAAACAAAACGGGTCTATGGAGTTTGGGCAACAAGTTAAATCTTTGACTCCCAGAAGTAATTGATATGTAACTTCTCCTTCCATTATCCATACATGATCCAGCAAACAGGTAGTGAGAATACACAAACTTATCATGTTAAAGTTGCTGCCTTGTCTAACACCAAATTCTTATACCTAATTTACAAGGAAATTTGTAGTAGCTAGAGGGGAGAATTAATAATCAGATCTTAGGATTTAAAGGATTACACAGAAATATCAATGCTCCCACTGAACAATTCAATATATTGTTAAGTGTTTGCTTAATATCAAGTGTAAAGTTCTGTCCATCATAAATTTACTGTAATTTCTGGTTATTTACCTACACAGCTGATTACCTGTATAGGTTAATTTTTGCAATAATGAGAAAAAATTTCAACAGATTTCGGGCCACACTGGCAGATAACCCGCACCCAAAAATAAAAGAAAATTGTCAACTCACACAAAGTTCCTCCATTGCTTTTGTTGACATGATATCCTTGAGCATGCAATTAATAAATTTTCACACTTCTTGCTTTCAATGTTTCATTAAGAATGATACCAGTTGTAAAAATCTGCTCTCAAAAGAAATCAATATCTCAAGATCTATGAGTTGAAGAAATCGCTTGAATTGTTTTTTAAACCAAACAAAGAAACAAGCTGAGAAATTGACAAGGTAAGAAAGTAAGAGTACAAACAAGATAAAAGCTTTTGTTATTGAGTTTTGAAGATATCTCTTAAAAAAGTCTTAAAAGTCTCTTATAATACTGAGCAATCTGTGCAAAACAAATGGGTTATTGCACAGGTCTTTTGATGGGTATCTTTAGTGGATCTTATTATCATCTCTGTTTCTTCTGGCTTATAGTTTAAAAAACTATACAGGAAGCTTTAAAAATTAGTGTATTACCTGCACCTTCCTATAACCTGCACCAACAACTGTTTGTGGAAAAATTAACAGATTACCAGTGTGAAATCAACCAGAAATTACAGTAATACTGGAATTTATGCTATTTTTATTATACAAGTAAAGAGAAAGTCCATCTCCATATTCTTATAATTGCAGCTCATTTATATTATCATCATCCTAAAGCAAACCTGTAAGCTCAGTAACTTGCATAGATTCTGAATTTATTTCATTGCTTTCAATAATTTTGGAAAGAAAAAGTCTCTTATAATACCGAGCAATCTGTGCAAAATAAATGAGTTATTGCACAGGTCTTTTGATGGGTATCTTTAGTGGATCTTATTATCATCTCTGTTTCTTCTGGCTTATAGTTTAAAAACTATACAGGAAGCTTTAAAAATTAGTGTATTACTTGTACCTTCCTATAACCTGTACTAACAACTGTTTGTGGAAAAATTAACAGATTACCAGCATTAAATCAACCAGAAATTGCGGTAAAACTGGAATTAACGCTATTTTTATTATACAAGTAAATAGAAAGTCCATCTCCATATTCTTATAATTGCAGCTCATTTATATTATCATCCTAAAGCAAACCTATAAGCTCAGTAACTTGCATAGATTCTGAATTTATTTAATTGCTTTCAATAATTTTGGAAAGAAAAAGTAACAAAGTTCACTCACGCCAAATATGGGTATAGGAGCCACAAAATTTATCAACAGGAGATTGAAATCAGTCTAATTATAACATATTACACACTGAAAGCAAAATTGCAAAACAACTTAAGTCATACCTAACCTTAGATTTTTCTCCTTTGGGAAAAACCAAATGGGTAAAGTTTCAATTTTCTCAGAAACTGAGCTTCTCATTTCTAAAAGGTCCTGAGCGTCATAAACCTACAGTAAAGATATGCAAATGATAGATCATTTGCCAAACTAACAAGGGCCGAGTCTTCATCAATACAGAATAAGGAATAATAATGAAATTGCTTGTCAGAAGAACATACTAGAAGTATCTAGTTTCAATTTTCCCAAAGTTGGTTTCGAAAGCAACTGCTATTTTCATAGTCCAATCATAGATCTTATTCACGGGAGGTTCTCATAACTAAAAGTAAAAGAGGACGTGAGATCAAAGAGCTTCTTGATTTACATCTATTGCTGGATTATGGACATCACTCCAAATAACAGTTATTTCTTTGAAAACCTTGGGCTCGTAAGAAAAGTTATACTCTCTCTAAAAATTGAGCATAAGACGTGATTATATTTGTTAAGACTACAAGCAACTTTATCACGAACCTTTGGCCACGGCGCTGACATCTTCGTAGAACCCAGCAATGAGGGCCACATGTCCAGGCCGAGACTCTGTAGGTACTCGTGTGTGAGAAACACCCCAACTGGCTTTTGTTTCGATCAAATCTCTTAAATATGGTGCGCGAGTTTTTCCGCGTTCATCAAGTTCATAAAATTTGTCTGCTCGTAATCCGTCGGCAACAAATAAAACCAACCTCTTTGCGGGCGCCTTTAGAGTCGATTGGTAAGGGGTCATGCCATGAACTAGGGGAGAAGTAAAATAAATATCGAATATGGACGCAAGATAGATGATATGAACCAGTATCCCTAAAACTAAGAGAGTTGACTTCGCTGCGGCCATGTTGGTTTAGGTACATACGTGGCTTATCATACACCACGTAGCCACCCACGCCAATCGAGATGAGGAGGGAGGCTGGAGCGAGAGAAAAAATTGGGAGAAATTCGGCAGAAAAGAGTCCTTTGATTTTTACTCATATTCATACAATCCATAACTCCACCTTAATGGGAAATAAGCAAAGTTCTTCTCTCACGGCTAAAGCAAACCATGTGCGCTCGTTCGCTCGCTCGCGCAGGAACTGAAACGGAGACCGAAAACGGAATGACTTTAGCATCGTCGAGTGCTTTGTTAAAATAAGAAAATTATCCCGACCACTGATTGTTAATTAACCAAAAACAAAATAAATTTATTTGGCTGTTATCCAAAAAATGATGTAAGCAAAATGATTTATTTATTTTAGGAAACTTATGCACGGTTTTTTCGGATCAGTGATATAAATCGGAGATCGTTTTGTGACGAGGTTCAAATTTTGTCGATACTGAAAAAAACTCGGCAATAACTAAGACTTGAAAAAAATCATCAGAAGCTAGAGAAGATGTCAGACGAGTTGGCTCTCCCGATTGGTATCGACCTTGGAACAACTTACTCCTGCGTTGGAGTATTTCAACACGGTAAAGTTGAGATTATCGCCAACGATCAAGGAAACCGAACGACCCCGAGCTATGTCGCCTTCAATGAAACGGAGCGCTTGATAGGAGATGCGGCCAAGAATCAAGCAACTCTTAACCCAAACAATACAATCTTTGATGCCAAGAGACTTATTGGTAGGAAATTCAACGACCCCCTGGTTCAATCCGACAGAAAAAATTGGCCCTTCGAAGTAGTCAGCGAGAATGGGAAACCCAAAATCCGCGTGCAGTATAAAGGCGCGGCGAAAAATTTTACGCCGGAAGAAATCAGTGCCATGGTCCTAACCAAGATGAAAGAGATAGCCGAAGCTTACCTGGGCCAGACCATTCATGATGCTGTTGTCACAGTACCAGCATACTTCAACGATTCACAGCGACAGGCCACCAAAGATGCTGGAACAATAGCAGGGCTGAATGTCAAGAGAATCATTAATGAGCCCACTGCCGCCGCCCTCGCGTACGGTTTGGAGAAAAACCTCAGCGGCGAAAAGAACGTGTTGATTTTCGACCTTGGTGGAGGGACCTTTGACGTCTCTGTGCTAACTATCGACGAAGGTTCCTTCTTCCAGGTTCTCTCCACAGCTGGCAACACACATCTTGGTGGAGAAGATTTCGACAACCGCATGGTGGACTATTTTGTGTCAGATTTCAAGCAGAAAAACAAGAAGGATCTCAAGACCAACCCGAAATCCTTGCGTCGCCTGAGGACCGCATGCGAAAGAGCCAAGAAAACTCTGTCGTCTGCAACCCAAGCTAATATAGAGATCGATTCACTGTTCGAGGGAATTGATTTCTACTCCAGAATAACCCGTGCCAAATTTGAAGAGCTCTGTATGGATCTGTTCCGCTCATGCCTCGACCCAGTGGAAACTGCCCTTAAAGATGCGAAGCTTAACAAACGCAAAGTGCATGACGTGGTTCTCGTTGGAGGATCTACAAGAATCCCAAAGATTCAGAGTCTGTTAGAAGAATTCTTCGAAGGAAAACAGCTGAACAAATCAATCAACCCTGACGAGGCCGTGGCGTATGGTGCCGCTATCCAGGCAGCGGTCTTGTCCGGAAACAGAAGTTCCGAACTCAAGGATATCCTGCTGCTCGACGTTGCACCCTTAAGTCTCGGGATTGAAACCGCCGGTGGGGTAATGACCACTATAGTTCAACGCAATACAAAGATTCCAGCGCAAGTTTCTAAGGAAGAGTTCTCAACTTACTCAGACAATCAAACAGCCGTTACCATCCAGGTGTTTGAAGGAGAGCGTGCCTTCACCAAAGACAACAATCTACTGGGACGATTTGATCTGAAAGGAATCCCCCCTGCACCACGAGGTGTGCCCAGGATCGAGGTCTCCTTCGATGTTGATGCCGACGGGATCTTAACTGTTTCCGCCAAGGATCAGAGCACTGGGAATAGCAACAACATCACTATCACCAACGACAAGGGAAGGCTGTCCAAAACGGACATCGATCGCATGGTGGCTGAAGCGGAGCAGTACAAGGAAGAAGACGAGAAGAAACGCGACAAGGTAAATGCAAAAAACAACCTGGAGGGCTATGCGCACCAAGTCAAACAAGCTGTAGAAGATCCGAAAAATGATCACAAGCTTGATCCTGAAGATAAGAAGATGGCGAAGAACAAGGCACAAGAAGTGATTGCTTGGTTGCAACGCAATCAAGAAGCTGAAAAAGAGGAGTATGAAGAAAAGCAAAGAGATCTACAGCAAGTGTGTTCACCAGTCATGTCCAAGGTACAAGGACAGGAGACCCCGGAACAAGGGCGGGAAAACAGCTACTGCGGTGGACCTTCGGGTGCAAGGCCAACCCCCAATAGATACAGTTCTATAGTCGAGGAAATTGATTGACTGAACGCTCCGTAAAGGAGTTGATATTTTGCATTCTAGACTTTAAAAACGTTCCTCTTTGGTTTTTAGTAATTAGCTTTTTATCAAATCACGGACTAGAGTAGCTGATCGAGTAACAGACACTTTTAAATAATGAAACTTTAGAAACCTTCTTTTGGTGAGACGAAACGTTCGGTACTAAGTTTTACTAGTTTTACCTATCGGGCATATTATTCCTCTCACACAGCGACTCGTTGCCAGTGTTTTCAGTTTCTATTAAAGGCAGTTTGACATCAAATTGATTGCGTGATCTTTTAGATTTTTTAAAAGGGATGGCAAAGAACGTTGGTAATGGCAGAGGTCTTCGAGGATGATACATGGAAACAAACAAATACATAAATATATAAGGAAATACATTTAAAACATATTCATTACGGGCGTCACCAAATCCTCGAAGAAATTATTTTACTTTCTGATATCTTCGAAATTATGGAGAAAAAAAATTGACTTTCATTTTCGCTGTGTACATGATGAACCTTCCTAAAAACAAACAGAGTGATAGGGTAAACCAAAAAAAATATATCAGGCGCTGTCGATTGAAAACGATCTTTATTCTGTGCATCAGCCATTCGCATAGAGTTTTACACCTTAAGGTAAAATAGTATTTCATCGATGTTATCACTGACGCAATAACAGTTTTTTTGCAGTCCTTGCTGACATAAAACTAAATTCCCTCCCAACATCCAGGAGGTGCGACGCGCAACCTCCTTCCCAGGCTCTTTCAATCCCCCAACCCAAGGGCGAGTAGAAAAGTGACCCTGGAAAGGAGATTGACTCAGCGCGTTCTTTTAGAACGAGCCTCAACATGACGCAAGTACTATTATAACAACAACAAGGCTCGCCACTTGTTGTAGAGGTATTAAGTCTTTCAAATTTTCTCTCAACACTCGTCGACAAAGTACAGAAGGGACATTATTAGTCTAAACTAATGTAGACATTCTTGAGCCCGTCACGAAGTCGTTCCTCCCCACGAGGGGAGGAAGAACTGTGTGACGACCCCAAGAGCGCTTCACGATATTTCAAGAGGTAACTCGTAAAGACGCTTTCACAAAGGCAGACACAAAGTAGCAAAACAGCAGAGAAGTGAAAACATTCGCAAAAAGGAATGAGTATACGCTAACCGCGAGGTAACTCCTTCAACTCCTTATCTGTAATTGACTCCAAACAGTGCTTTTGAAAAAAGCAAAGGGTGACAGAAAACCATTTGCTAACTTTCACAAAAGCAAAGTTAGACATTTAACCAAATATTTTCTTTTTTAGTGTATTTTTTCTCATGACACAAATAAACGATCTGTGCCGTTCTAGATTTGGTTTGTGCTTTTGTTAGAAAGATCAACAGCTGGTACACTAAATTAATCGACATTTAACCCAGATTTTTTTAACTACGTCACGGAAGATGTCGAAGAATTAGGCTTAAGTTTGGACACCAAGTCCCTAAAACTATATGACTTAAAAAAGCCGAGGATGTATTTTCATCAACAATCTCTATACTCCGTAAGGGTTCTGAAACAAAAGTTGCTTCCCACGACAACTTATATGGGAATATTGAGCTAGGAGTAAGGTGAAATTTCTAGTTCCTTATCTCTTAGTCTATCCTTGCATCTTACACGTAACTGTCAGTTAACCCTTTAACTCCCATGAGTGACCAAGACAGAATTTCTCCTTACAACATCAATACAATATCAAGCAGACAAGTGTTGGGAATAGAGAAAAATTTCAGTTAGGGAATTGTTGGCTAATCCTATACCAAATTCTCAGAACTAAAATCACAAGAATTGTATGGCAGACAGTAAGGAGAACAACTAATGTGATCTTGGGAGTAAAAGGGTTCACTCAAAATGTGTAAAATCAAAGGCCACATCAACCTTATTTTGATTCATTAAATACTTTGTATCTTGCATAAAAAATGAAATTTGTTCAAAATTTATTTCCCACATAAGTCATGAATAGCACTGACCAGCTTGAACTCTGGCCAATCAATTTTCATACTCTATTTGGATATTTTTCTCTATGATACAGTTGCCATGGCCATACACTATACAACACAAAACTATTTTCATCAATTTAAACCTTAGAGTTCATGACAACCAAAACTTGAGGTATTTAACTTTTTGTAATATCATCTACATTTAGGAGACATAAAATTACAAGGGATCTTGGTTAGTCCTGCAAACTCACTACCCCAAAGTATCAATACAAAGAACACCACTTTTCCACAGAAGAAGAAGATCACAATGATAAATCCAATTACGAAACAAATCTTGTTAAAATGTTCTACCAAAGATAAGCATGTCAGGAGGAGCTGGATCCTTGAGGGGAATAGCATAGAATCCTAATTTGGTGTAGAAGTCCAGAGCATTGTTGTTTGTGGTTGCTATCTCACAGTGCACACCAGTACAGTCTTCAGCCTTGAGTGCAGAAAGAACACAAGCTAACAACCGCTTGCCAAGACCAAGATCCTATCAGAAGGAAATAGTAGAAAAACACACTTAGCAGAAAAAAATAAAAAAATAAATAAAAAAAGGAGGTAGAGGTGTCACCATGGTGAACTTATTAGGTGTGTAGGATTTCAATGACCTTTTCCTCAAACAGTTTCCAATTGTGAAATGGGTGGTTGTTTATGGAATGGGGGTTGTGAGGTCCTTTTCCCCTAGAGGGGTCTGGGGGCATGCTTCCCTGGCAAAAACTTGAAATTTAGAAGCTCAGAAATGTAATTTCTAGCATTAGAGTACTAGTAGAGTACTAGCAAGTTAGACATATGGCAGATGGCACTGCTAGCTAGCTTTTGAAATCTGTATTCTTTGTCTCCATGGTTAACCACCTATCCCTTTTCACTGATGCATGAAGAGCTCTTTTTTTTTTAATGTCAACTAAAATAACTATCACTTTTAGGATTCCCTTCAAATATGAAGTAACTTTGTACCTGTGCTCTGGGAAGAAGATGGATCTGTACATGAGCACCAAACTTTAAACACACATCTTCAGGAAGGAATATTTTTGGATTGTGCAAGCTATTGGCAAGTTGTTCAGCATACGTCCACTCTGGTGAATTCCCAGCTGGCATCTTGTACTTCTTGCAAACCTGAGAAATCAATTATTTGAGAGACTGAAGTGGAGGAGGGAGAGTGATAGCAGTTACAATGTACCTGACAGCCAACTCAGTCAAAGGTAATTCAATTAAAGTAGTTTCCATATGTGGTGTATGATGTAAGAAGTCACGCTGTCATGCCACTCCCAGGCAATAACATATTTACCTACCCAGGATGCATGACATGAAGACTAACATACATGTAAGAAGCAGTGAATAACAAATCAAATAGCTAAAGGAAAAATGTTTTCTTCACAACTGTACATTTCAGTTTTCAAAGCTGTAAAGTAACTCTGCTTTCAAGGCAATTGATTAACTAGTGTGCACATGTATTCATTGATGGAAATTTACTTCTGAATTCTGATGTCATTGTGGTCTTATCCCAAAATTCAAGTTACTTCTAGTGCTGTGCACAACTAAATGTAACAGAAAGGATACAAACACAATACCAGTTTAGTTGGAGTGCATGACTGAACAAGAATGGAAAAAGAGGTGGAAAACTAACATGGATTGAAAATGGCAAGCTTGAAAATGTAAGACAACACAATCCAAACTTTACAAATACTGCAAAGCTTACTTAATTTTATCATTAATGGGCAAGTCAAGTGAGCAGTCCAATTTTTACATACCTCTGGAAGCCAGTGTTTTTTGAACTGCTCATAAAAGTGTTTGGAATCAGGAGCTGCTACTGCATAACCACAAATGCCATCACCATCTTCCACTACAAACACATGTTCAGGACAGATCTTCAGATATGGACCAACAAACCTGAAAAAAGGACATCTGGATAGTAAGATAAATTGTTATGTTGCTTCCAAAGGTGATAAACAAACAAACAAACAAGCAAGCGAGCAAGCAAGCAAGCAAGCGAGCAAGCGAGCAAATAAGCAAACAAGCAATGTTTTGTCTCCCCTAGGCACACTGAATATCAAATTCATTTTAACAAAAAAAATTTATTTCTATAAAGAAGAGAGAGATAGGGAGAGAGAGTGAGAGAGATGGGAAAAAAAACTTTTGGCAGATGCTAAGGACATTTACCATTTTTCAGGTTTGAAGTTTGTCTAGCCTTAAATCACAAATAGATGTCAAAAGTTTATCCAGTACAAAGCCTCTGCTTGATGGTAATACACAAAGGAGCTGGCACTCTCTTTTCATCTTTACAGTAAAGACCTGGCAACCTCAACATCTCACAGAGGAGTTCTTGTAAGTTAGCACAGTCAGAGATATGTGAAGTTACACACTAAACTACTGAGAGAGAGCAAATCTAGGGGATGATGGCATGGCTTCAAGAGTACAGGGGGGAAAGAAACTGTAGATATATCTTCTATCAAGAGAACCACACATACACAAAAATAGAAAAACCACATTACTGCTATAAATTACTGACCTGTCTCCTGCCATATTGAATTGTTTGTCAGGAAATAAGTCATGGCCATCTCCCCAGTCATCACAAGTGGACACACAAATTTCATACAAGGATTTCTGGTAAGAAAAATCAAATGCAACAAATTGCACCATCATTCTGTTTTGTTGTAAAAAAATTTGGTTGTTCTTTTAACACATGAGTATCTATCGACAACACTTCTCCACCCTGCACAAAACCCTTGTGGAGGCTCCACAAATCAAAAGTTGCTTGTAACATTAATCCTCCAACCGCTAAGAGTGACAAGCAGCTAATTTCAAACATCAAGGTCATGAGAATGGAAGAAATGACTTAAAAAGCTCTTGATCATTAAACAAATTTTCCTTTTCAGCACCTTAGAAAATGTATAAAGAACAGCATGGAATATGCATGCTGATGTCAGTGTGTAAAGGGCTAAGGAAAAGAAGAGATTTGTTTCACTGAGAAATGTCCATACAATCATGTACCTCATCATCTGCTTGATATGGTCTGATGGTGTAGATACAGGTGGTAGGAATTTCTGGAGCCCTCAAGTTAAACACTTCATGTCCTCCATCAATTGGTAACAGTCTCTATTGACACAATATGCCATGACAGTTTGAGCAATTCACTTGAACAATAATTGTTTTGGGTACGAGTCTTCAATGTGCAAGTCATACATAGGGAAGAGAGGTGATAAAAGTACATTATGTGCTCCAATCCTGTTGAACTGTCAGCTTACTGTAGATTTTTTAAAAAGGGCTGCAACACATCACGAATCCTTCCTCTTCACACAAAGAAATGTAGTCAAAACAAATATGGTTAAAACCTTGTACTACTGTACAACTAAAATTTAACTAAAGCTTGGGCCTAGTTTTTCAAAAGGTGGATAGCACTATCCATTGGATAAATCTTTATCCAGTTGATAGTACTGTGCACTTTGTTAACATTTATCCACTAGATAGCTATTAATCTGTTCAATAGCTATATCTACTCTTTGAATAACTGTGCACTGATTTTCACTTTCATAGTAAGTTTTTTTCCTAACAATTATTAAAATAGGAATCAGTAATTAGATGCACTTCTTTTTCCCCGTTCAAAATGTGCACCATACCTGCAGCTCTCCACACAGACCTCCTCTAAACACCCATGGTTCAGGGTCCTCAGGGAAAAAGCTCTGTCCCTTTTGTTTCTTCCTCTTATTCTTTGTACTTAACCAGTTCACAAATGTGTCTAGTAACTGTAGGACTTCCTTGACATCCCATACATATGGATAGAGATCATACAGCAATGCTCTGTTGGAGGTTTCTGTTAATCTTACAAACATCTCTCCCACTGATCGGCAGATTTCGTGGAACTTTTCAGCTCTCTCAGTCCATTCTGATAACTGAAATGTAGCAACAGAAGAACTTGGTGGTAAAGATGTTTGTTTCTGTGTTCGTCATCTCACTGGACAGAACATTCAACAGCTCAGATTAGCGTATATGTTTGTAATCACATTGAATATTTCACCAAAAATTTCATCACCACTGTTGTGCTCTGCTATCTCTACAATCCTTGTAAACCCTGTAACTCCCAATCCTAAGATACGATTGTTAATTCTACCCTCTGGCTGCTAAAAATATCCTTGTAAATAAGTTACCATAAAAACCTACAGATAAGCAGCACCTTTTTTCCAAAAATCGTTGTTAGAAATTGGGGGTCAGGCTTATCTGCAGGAATATTTGAAAAAGGTGTTGTGAATGTTGACATTTTCACGTCCAATCTAATGCCTGGTTACTGAGCTTCGAATGTTCTGCTCATGTTCTTGTTGTTATGCAAAAATCTATGGAAAAACTGTGTTGAATGAAGAAATTCTTGTCAACAAATACCAGAAAAAGATCAATCACATGTCAAAGTTGGTAGAAATGATGTTCATTATATTAAAGTGCTAAAAATTACGGGTAAAACTTTGAAGTATTTTCCGTTGCAATGTTAATAGTGAGTTTATGTTCAATGAACAGTGGATGAAGAAGACTTCTCAAGACTCAACTTTGGATTTCTTTTGATTTCTTTCAAAAAACTTTTTTTCCGAAATTTGAGCTGCTAAATTCAAGGTGCAGCTTGTCTGTGGGTGCAGCTTATCTGCGGGTTTTTACGGTAGGTGAATTTGGTGTTGAATCAAGACAACAACTTCTACATAATAATTTTGAGTACTATTTCTTTTCTAGATAATGTATAGATATCATTTGGGAAAAGGTTTCATGTTATTCACCTTAAGGAGTTAAGTGGTTAATAGATACCTTATATTTCTGTTCTTGCTCAGTAAGCTCCATAAACTCTTGTGAATCCTCTTTTATTGCGTTGAACTTAAGCCATTTAAAATCAGCAATAATCTGCATAGCCTTTTGACCATGATTGTATGGCAGGTAGAATAAATCTACCAACAACAGTAGATCCTCAACACTCAGTGGTGTTATTGCAGGTTTCTCTTTTACTTCCATCACCTCCATTGGCATCTCTTGCTCCTTCTTTACCACTTCTTCAATCTTAGTTTCTGCCATTTAATTACAAAGATAATTAAATGCATATATTTGGAGTGCAGGTTAAAAGATTAAAGAAAAACCTTGATTTAAAAATAGTAAAAGAGATATTGCCTTCAAAAAATTGTTGCCTTCTTTACTGAAGACAAGCATCATTGATGTCAAGTTTAATTTGAAAAGCTTCTTCAAGCCTTTTATGACATTAAATCATAGGTTGTATGATCTTGATTTGCCAGATAGTTTTACAAAGAAAACTAATTTTCTCAAATGAACATAATGTCGACTGACTTTTCCATGACCTTAAAAAAATTTTCCTTAACTTTTCCTGACCTCTCATAACTGTGAATACTAGTAAGAATACCTCAATACCCATAATCCTTTTTAAGATTCTAGATGGTCTAATGTTTCATACCTGGGGAAGGAGAAGTGGCCAGCTTTTTCCTACTATTTTCCTTTGCAACCTTTATTGGTGAGGCATTCACTACAGGTGAACAAACAGGAGAAGTAGCACTTGTAGTTGATGTAGTTTGAGCTACCATAGGGGCTTGCACCTGAACTGCCATGGACTCTGGCGTCATACTGTAGGCACCACTTTTTGCATAGGTTCTGGAAGTAGCAGCTTTTACCTTAGAGAATTCCTCTAGCCAAGCAGACACAGCCTCTCGCAGAGCAGATTGGGGGTTATAAGCAATGCGACTGGTGGTGCTCTTAGCTTCACTTAGCGATGTACCACTCTCTGTTTCCATAGCTCCCTCTACCTTGACACTTTCACTATCTGTTTCTGGAGAACTATTTTCTTCAGCTGTGCCTTGATCAGTTTCTTTATTGGTGTTTTCATTTCCTTCACTCTCTATGCTGGCAAGAAGATCTTCCTCCATAGGCTCACTAGAGTTACTTGACTTCTCTGCCTTTGAATCAATACTCATAGGTTCCTCAGCAGTGCTAAGTGAGGAATCTTTCAACCATGAAGAAAGAGTGTGGACAGCAATAAAGTTACTTTCAAACTCACAGTTAGGATTGGTCAGTACTCCATTGAGCATGGGGATTAGCTCTACTGGCCTTCCATCATAAGGTCCCAAGAAGACTCGACGCTGGTCATAGTCATTTGCATGAATATTGTCCCATATGACAGGTCTGCGCTTCAGCACATTTGTCAGTGTTTCAATAGTTTGAGTGCTGATCACTTTTGAGACTACCTTGGGACCTAAAATGATTGAAGCAACATTGTAAGACCTATGCCATGTTGAGTGCCTTGACACAGAACACAGACACACATGTAGGCTGCTACATACAGGCACGTCTAGTCTTTCTTTCCCAAAGCCAGCATTTTTTAATAGTCCACTATACTTTCAAAGGAAAAATTTTTTTTTCTGTTGTTCAAAATTTAAACTAACCAACTCATTTAATTCATGCAATAGCATAATTTGAAAAACCTTTTTGAAAGTAAGGCATAAATCCAATGAAGTAAGAACCCACTCTGCTTTTTTCTTTCAATTTTCTTCACCTTTTCATGTTTTTTTTTAAATTAGATTTCTTCCCAAAGTTTAAATCAAACAAAGTCAATTTAAAACAAGCCAAAATCACACAAACTTTATCTTTAGTTAGAGTGAGCATTCTTCATTGAAATTGAACCATACCTTTCAGAATCAGAGTTGACAATTATAAAGGTCTAGAAACATATTCAAAGTTTGGTAAAAGACATTGCACACAGCCACACCTGAGAGTTACTTTAACAGAAGTTTCATGAACATGGATTGGCACCAATTTTTAACGATAATAAACCAATGGAGACCAAAGACAAAACTTTCACTCAGCTGATATGGGAATTTGTAAAGTTGATTTGCTTTCCATGAGAGTGGGGTTATCACATCAATACACACAACATACAAAAAGACTCACATACTTCTTCAAAACCAACTACATAACCAACTCAACAAACACAAAAACGACACACATACAGGACAAAAAGGCACAAAATGTTACAGGACCATTATGTACACTAGTCTACTGGCACAAGTCAATACAGTTTGGCCTTTGTCTGATTCTCTTATTTTCTTCATATGTAATTGTTTAATCTTAGTACTCAAGAGTGCCAGAAAATGCTTTGACAACACTATGGCCATGTAACATAAAACAATAATTCTATTTTCAAAAGTGTTGCTTTCCCTTTTTGATTGGAAATGACAAAGTTCACTGTTATGTTGAATAGTTCTATAAATTCAATATTCACCAAAAATTCTCTCTCAATACAAGTTACTTTGCCAAATTCAGGTGAAATTCAATTTTTTAGTTTGTAGCAAAAGTATAAACAAATCATAAAAACTTGTATACTTCCCAATACTTGAAAAGAACAAAAAATGAAAATAGAATTATGTGCTGGATTGCTCACAATATTTAAAACATATCATCCTTTGTTTACAAATCTAACCAATCTATGGTAGGTTTGCTGATAATTTTTCAAGAATCTTTCCTAATGACCAACACTGCAGTTTAAGTCTGAAAGGTCAGATTTCACTGTAGCTGAAGTTTCACAAATGAGGTTCAGTTGATCAGGGGTGGTCTTTTTTTCATAAACAAAGGAAAACCAGCTTAAATTTTGCAAGAAATCCTTCTCATCACTGTTGATTGTTCTTTGCAGGAAGGTACATCCATTAAAACAATTTAAAACATGCAGAAGAGATCAAATACATGCACACTGACTGCAAAGAACATCAATCAACACATTCACGTGGCAAGCAAGGAATGATGTAGTTCAAGATTCTTCCCTGAGTTTATTGATTCTGTTTATTCCCTTAATAGCATTACAGCGAGTGAAGATTTTGACAAGTTTACTAATATATTTTGTATCATGATCCTGCACCAAAACTTAATATCATTCAATTGATATCAAGATTCTACAGAGATGTTAAATTTGATTTTTTACTCTCTGCATCTTGTTTTTTTTTTCCCTTTTTTTTTTGTTTTGTTTTGTTTTTTTAATGTTTGTCTTAAGTGTGGGTTCATAATTTGCCTGACTGCAAAATGCCAACCAAACCTGGAATATGCAGTGTTATCCACTGTGCTCCATTTAAGAAACACATGCAAATGCTTGTAGGATTAAACCCCTTCATTCACCTATACTAAGGTAAATGCTTGTATGGCAAATATTACATTTTCCATTCATGTTTTTTTTCATTTTTACTGAGCCATTCAAAAACTTTGGTCTATAAAAACACACAACATTAAAAAATTCAGTAAAATACAGGCTATAATCCTGCAAGCATATTGTTGTTTAGAATTGTTAATTTTTTGGTTGGGCCAAAATTTCTTTTGAGTTGGCTAATTTGTTTATGCTTTTTAGCTTGAGCTCTTTCTTTAGTTTGTTTAAAGGAGGACTTTTGTTCTGTGTTAACTAAGTTCAAACTTCTTCGGATCACCATGATCAGAAGAACTTTAAACTGAAAGATTAAAAACATTACACATGAGTCCATGAACAAATTTGGAGACAATTTAGAAAATCTTGAAAAGCTGGCTGGCTGGCAGGAAAGGAAAAACTAAGATGCAACTGTACCTTTAACCAAGCATAGAAGAATCAGGATAGGATTTGTTCCTCACCAACACTGCTAAATGGAACAGGACATGTTGACAACAAAACCAGCATTCAGCAATAATAAATCAAAAGACAAATGAAAGCCACAAAATAAGAAAAGTAACAAAATAAAATTGGTCACCTGTCCACATAATGTTTATCTTTGGGTTCAGTTTGTTTCCCAGTGTGATAAGGTAGTCAGATGTCTCTACAGATGGAATGGCTCTTGTGCCACAATATTCTACACAAGGAAAAAAAAACAGCATCATTCCAAAACCATGGTTACAATTTCTGAACACCCTCAAAACTTGCAGATAGCACAAATTCCCCTTACATCTTCACCAACTTTTTCTCTAGAGAGGGGTAAGGGAGGTAATAAAGGAAAGGACGTGGGGAGGGAGTGTAGGAAAGGGAAGGTCATTACATACACTGTATTGGTAAGATGCACTAAACTTCTTTAAGAGGACAAGGTTTGGTTTAAGTGTCTCAAAGATTTATTGGCCTGAAGATTGTACAATTCTGCCATGCAAAAGTTACTTATCTGGTATAACAACTTGTTGCTACTAATTCAGATTGTTGTTAAATACAACAAACAAAAGAAATCCTGCACTTATATCTGAAGTGGATCAGAGATTTACTATACCTGTTGGACAAAACAGAAAGCTTGGGCATCCCAAGTGTTTGTACACATTATTTGTGATTTCCACCTGAGCATCTCCAAATGAACTAAATGCATCAAGATCAGCACCGTGTAACTGTGGATCAATGTCATCAAATAACAGAGCAAATGCTGTGCAACCAAGCTTCTGCACCTGAAAAGAGAAGAGCAAATGGTACAATTAACTTGTTTTCAGTTTTGAGCCTGTATTTTCTAGGAAGCTCAAGCTTGCAAATATGCAGCTTACAATCATTGGAACTCAAGATAAACCTCTTCTTTGGAGGGTACTTGAAAGGGCTACTCATGTGCATCCAAGAGAAAGTCATGAGGAATACCAACACTAGCACCTAGTGATTCTGATGCTGTATGAGCAAAAGAAACAACCTTCCAGAACTTCTCTATCCCTGGATGGCTTTTACCAACTTAAAATATACTTACCGTATTTACCTGTGTATAAGCTGACCTTTTACTGCCTAAAAATCGGTCCAAAAAATCACTCTCGACTTATACATGGGTCAAAATCTGAGATAAAAAAACTTTCAACTTCGTCGACTTGTACACGGGTAAATACGGTAAATGACAGAACTTGCAATTGATCCTGGGGATAACAAAATCTAGATAAGACTAAAACCTCTAAAGGACACTAAACAGTGAAATACTATAATTTAAGTCCAACACCCCTGAATATATTTTACTAACTATTTAATAATTTTCTGTTTTTTTCTTTTTCATCCATCACTGTTTCGGTGACACAAAAAAGTATTCTGCAGAGATCTAGTAACAACAAAGAATACTAATTGTACCTGATCCATTTTTCGTTTGAGCAGCTGTACGTCTCTTGAGCTTGAAAATAATATATCAAGTCCAGGGGACAAGGCATAGTAGAGAGTTATACCACATTCCTTTGCTGATACAATAAGCTGTTTTAAATTCTCTGTGAATGATTATAAAGAACAAATAAGATAAATTATTTGAAGAATGTTGAACTGGCAATTTAAAGGTTTAGAAGCTAATGGACTTTTCAGTAAATGCAGAAATTTTAGCTAAGCAATTGTTCAGTAAAGCTCAATGAGCACTTCTGAGGTTATGCACTTGCTGTTGTTTGCCATCTTTGAGCCACTCTAATTCAAACTTTAGCTGGCAGCCTAATTTCTAAGCTACAACACTGCCTCAGTAATAAATTTATGATATTATCTGTTGAACTTTCAGGTAAGTGCAAGAAAGTACTCTCCAAGGAAACCAATTTGCCTATAACTACTTAATTAGGAGACACTGAACTCAGTCTAATTTACCAGTTTCTTCTGGACTATAGAGGTCTCTCCACAGTGCTCTGTGTTTGAGGTCATCTTTGGGAGCATACAAGTAAGTATTCATTCCCAGCTTCTTTATCCTAACAAACAAAAAGCAGATTGGCCTCATTTATCTCATGTGTTATGTCTAGAAAACAAAAGAAAACAATCAAACCTCCATTATCCCGACCTCCATCATCCAGATTTTTTTGTTTATCCAGAGAAGCTTCTCTGGTCACATTTGTTTTATGAATAACATAACTAGGACACACACACACATGCACACAATCTGTAACACTTTTTTTTTACATCAAACAAAGCAAGTGCAAGGAAACATCTGTTGAAATTAAATTTGTTCCACTTTCCAACTATTGACTACTTTTAATAAGACATGTGCATTAGTTTGTAAACCATACAGTGCAATTCAGAGCCTGGAAAGGTGCAAAAAGTTGCATTATATTTTGTATTTTTTCTTCTCCTTTTTTCCTTGACTACCAGTACTATAAGTATGTTTCTAGTTATTATCTATTTTTTCATAAAGTATAAAACCTTTAAACTCTCAGAATGACTAGCATCTAATTTCTCTTGACAATATCGCCACTAAATCACACATTAAGGTCATGAGAATAAAGGAAATGACCATCAATGAAAGAAGCTTTTGATCGGTAAACAAATTCTCCTTGTAAAAACCTTAGGACATGTATAAAGAACAGTATGGAGAATATACATACTGATGTGAGGGTGTAAAGGGTTTAGGCACACAACCCAACAAAATTGTTCATTTTCCCCACAATAAACATTTGAGGGTTTTGGATGACAAAACTTGATTATACATATGGCTTGGTCAGAAATAAAACAACCTCAACCAACTGAAAGGGTATTATTCAATTTTAAATAAAATTGTTTCAGTGTTGTGAAATTAAAATAAATGAATATTCCTTGTTTACACAACAGTTTTCCAAGCTGTTACACGAGACAGACCATGGTCATAACTTTACATCCTTGGGCGACAGAAAATAAAACCGTGTAATATAAAATATATCTTACATTGAAACCAATTAAATGTAATTACTTCCAAAGCAAGTGCTTTGAGTGTAACCTGAAATCGAGCTGAAGAAGATGATTTTCCTAAACTCAAACATTCCTACTTAATCACGGAAGTCTTAATTACAAAAATAGTATGCTTAGAACATTTATCACAGCTGTACAGAGCGAAGTTACTCGTCGTTAACTAGGTAGCGTCTAAATAAAAGTTTATTTTGTGTAAGCTTCTGTAACCGATCTAAGTCAAATGTCACGGCCGATAATGCAGATCATTTACCTCAAAAACAACTCTTTGCGCTGTTCAAGTGTCCACGGTCTTCCATAGAAACCTGTCAAAAGTTGATAAGGAAATGAGTTATCAAGTTATGTTTACAAAAGCAAGCTTTCGAAGAAGATAATATTTCCTACAAGGTGGTTTTCGTTCGGCCCTTTACGTTCGTCTCGGATTCAATTTAGCTGCAAGAAAAAAGCTCTTACCTTCAACAACCCCGCTAAGAAACTCTTCGCTCCTAGCTTTAGACGTATCTGAACTCATCTTAGTTCTTTTCTTGGATCCTACACGAATTTTAGGTTTTGAATTTTTTAGAATACGAACCCTTTCAGAGAACGCCTTCATCAGTACCTTCTCGACCTTCTCGACCTTCTCAGCTCCGGCCGGATTGTGCGCAGTATCAACACTAAATCACGTTTGTCCGGTTTTCGCGATTCCCGCGAAATTCCCGCGCCCGAGGGGCAAAAACACCTGCAAAGAAATTAACACTGATGAAAAAGCGGCTTTAAGGGTTTCAAATGAGCAATACACGTATGGAATAGGAGAGGCAAGTAACCGCGGTAAAGAGAGGTTGTTAACTTGTGTGACCCCGTGCATCCTTCTTTATTTTGGTCCTAGTTCTCTCGGATGCTGCCACGATCACATCGTTACGGTGGCCACCGTACATCGTTACTTGGGGGTACCCGCTAGAACATGAAAGTCAATCAAAATAACTGTGTTTCTGTGATAAACATCCCAGAGTATGTTGCAAAATGTGTTTGTGGTTTTGATTACAATCCAGCTTTGGATTTGTATGCAACGTTTAGTTTCGAAGATGGTATATCAGTTTGGGATCCCAGTGATGGACAAGTTGTTGTCAGATTTGAAGACTCGGATGAAATCCTCTCTTTCCTGCTCTTTTTACCGGGAAATCGCCTTGCTATGAGCTCTTCGTGCCCAAATCATGGAGGTATCATCGAAATCTGTACTTTTGAGGAAGACAAATCTATGTCTGATAAATTTGAAATCGATTCTAAAGATCTCCCCCTAGATCTACCAGGAGCCATTGCTTTGTCTCCAGGAGGGAATATTCTTCTCTCTGGGGAAATTTATGGAGATCTTTTCGAAATCTTCATTGATTGGGCTAATTCAAAAGTTCTGAAATCAAGAGAAATTGTTTTTCCAAACGAAGGGACCGTGGTAATCGAAGAAGATGTGACAACAGAACTACTTTCTTGCTCTCAGGATTTCGGTGTTGTACAGTGCAACTTTCATCAACCTCACTTCGAATCCGACTCTTTCTACGAATTGTTAGCTGCAAAAGTGAATTTACACATTGAAGGGGAGGCTCAGATCCAGGGTCACGAGAAAATCACATATTATGTGCTTAATGGAGAAGAAAAACGAATCTCACCGCACGATTGTCTTGGTGGACTTGTTCACGATGGACAAAATCTTATCATTGCAAATGAAGATGAAATTGTGTTGTTGGAGTCAGCAACAGAAGGGAGCGATGCACATGTGATTGCATCAGGAGTTAAACCTTCACAAATAAGGATAAACCATGAAGGCCAATTGATGGTCTGTGAGAAAAACACCATCAAGTTGTTTGAATACAAGAATGAAGTCAAGTCACTGCAGAGATTGTGCCGACATAATATCAGAGAAACAATTGGCACTAATTGTGCTGAAAGAGTAAAAAATTTAGAAATTTCATCTTTACTGAAAGATTATTTGTTGTACAAAATTAAATGAACCATAAATGTGTTTAAAATACTGTATCTACATCTGTTTTCCCAATAAACAGATTAACTACCATTTTCAAAATAAAAATTACTCTTAATTAGTCTGTTTCAGGCTATTAGTTTGTGGAGATGTGCCTAAGAGTGGGATAAGCAACAAACAACTGATGTGGTCATCACAGAAATGATCCCTGCTATTTTTTGTACACACACTATTTGTTTTCAGTAATCATATGGCTGGCAGGGGTCACATTACTCTCTTCACTTACCACAAAGGCACAGAAATAATTGTTTTAAAACTGAGAGAAAATTAAAAATGGTTATCTTGGGGTGCCCTCTTGACCTGGTGTTGAGCACACATAGCAATAACCATTATGACAGTTTTAATGAAGTGTTTTTGAGCTTGTTTTATAAACATGACTTTACCTCCTGTGTTATTTTGTATTTTCAGTACTCAAATAAAATCAAGTTTTTCATAAATTCTTTTTCCTTCCCTCATATTATGCTCAATCCCTTTAGTCTGCCCTAAGCCATGTTCATTAAATACCACACAACTGTTAAATCACTTATGCTCTAGAAATTAAGCTTGGGGAAATATAAGGTAAATGAATGGACTACAACCCAGTTGACTTTCTCATATCATCAATATTTTGGAGTAGACCTTTCCCCAAACAGGTGCTCACAGGACACCAAAAGAAATAAGTTGTACAAAATCAATATTTTCTACAATCACTGAATAAGTTAGATACTAACTTAGATTACTGAGAAGAGGAAACTACTCAAAACATTTTGCCATTTTAGGTCCGGTCATAATGACCACATGGATTTTCTAAGTCTTTTCCCTTTCATTCCAATCATTTATTTGACCTTCAGTCACACATAGACAAAAATGAAAGCAATGTAGAAATCATATCCTGTTCCACGCCATTTTGTTCCGTATCCCTCATTTTGCGTTCCTTATTCCATATTTCCTAGTCTTTGCCCATGTGACCAATTAAGGGACCTGCAGTACCTGAGAAAGTGAGGCACAGAGTGCTCCTGAGGGTTAAGTACCAATATTTCACACCGTAAAGCTACCAGTTGGAAGATGAGAGTTATCCCAAACAACTGTGTTTCTGAAATTAAATACCCAGAGAGTATAGCAAGAGCAGATGGTGTTGATTATAATCCAGTTTTGAATTTGTTTGTAACGTTCAATTATAACTACGATGGTGCATGTGTTTGGGATTCCTCCACTGGAAAAGTCTTAGCTAGATTCGATGAATTAGGTGAAAACTTCCGTGACGTGCTGTTTTTACCAGGAAATCACCTAGCTGTAAGTTCGTCAGAGGCACATCACGGTGGCTGCATAAAGATCTGTTTCTTTGAAGATGGCAAACCTGCCTCTGTTAAATTTGTAATTGATTCCGAAGATCTTCCCGTGGATTATCCAGGAGCCATAGCTTTGTCTCCAGGAAGGAATCTCCTTGTCTCTGAAGCATTTAATGGTGGAGATCTCTACGAGGTATTAATAGACTGGGATAATTTGAAAGTTCTGAAATCAAGAGAAATTATCCCCTCAACAGAGGAAAGCGTAGAAGATCAGATATTACAGCTTTCCTGTTCTCAGAATTTCGATGTTGCAAGGTTTGATATTTCTTCCGATGCAATATTAGTTGCAAAAGTGACCGAATTTAGCACTGAAGGGAAGGCACAGACCCAGAAGCAAGAGGAAATCACATATTATGTACTTGATGGAGAAGAAAAACGAATCGCAAGCAATGATGGTTCACATGTACCTGGACTTGCTCATGATGGACAAAACCTAATCATTGCCACAGAAAATGAAATTGTATTGCTGGAGTCAGCAACAGAAGGGAGCAATGCACTTCTTATTGCATCAGGTGTAAAACCTTCTGGACAAATAAAGATAAACTGTGAAGGCCAATTGATGGTCTGTGAAAAAAATGCAATCAAGTTGTTTGAATACAAGAATGAAATTCGGTCACTTCAGAGTTTGTGCCGGCATTACATCCGAGAAGCAATTAGCACTAATTTTGCTAGAAAGGAAAACAATTCAATAATTCCATCTTCACTGAAAGATGATGATGACAATGCTGATGTTAGGGATGATGGGGATGATGATGATGATGATGATGATGAGGATGAAATCAGAGAACCAATTCATACTTACTATGCCAAAATAGTACACAAATTAACTATTCCTTCCTCACTGAAAGATTACCTGCTGTACAAATCAAACTGAGCTAATGAGATAACTAGAGTTATTTATGGGAAATCCTCATCAGTTAAACCAACGTCTGTGTGGGTCTTGTCTTTTCCCTCATAGCTGAGGATTATTAAGTTTGCCAACCAAAATGAAAGGGAAATAGGAGAGTGACTGGAATTCTGTCCCTGAGTTAAGTGCATTTTCAGAGTTGCTTTGCCTGAGTGAAACCAAAGCAGTAATGATATGTTATTATCTCCTTTGAGAAGAATATGATACACAAATATTGGTACATAACAGTATTACACTTACTACGATGTAACTGAGATATAACTACGTGAATTATATAGTTTAATCTATAGATTAGATGTCTGTTATACATTAAATAGTTCAACTGAGTTTCAGACAGCCAGCCAGACAGTTTTAGATCAAAAGTTTTAAATTTCATTTAGTTATTAATCAGAGGAGCTCTTTGCTTGAAATAAAAAGAAGACACCAGGAATGTTTCATAATGCTCCTTATGTTGTAATATTTTTCCGCCGGAGGGATATTTTTTCTTATTTATAACAGTTTCATTGGGATAATTTATCAAACCTTAGGCTCTTTGTCAGAAAAGGCAGAAATGAGGTTAATGCTCTATTTATTTGATAATATCTTTCGTTTTTAAATAATTATGGCCCCAGCAATCCCTGTTTGTACTCATTCTGACTTAAATTGCTAATAATTGCTTAAAGTAAGTAATGGCATGAGAGTACAGGCTCCCTGGGAACCATGGGGTGTAGCAGAGCCAGGCAGTTGTTAAACAGTCAGAGTTAATTGCAGACCAAACTTGCACACTCACTCTCAAAAGAACAAAAAATAACAAAGATAACACTGACTTGCACACAGAGACATGACCTGTGAATTAGTGACTACAACTCACAACTTATAACATTTGGAGGGAAATGTAAAATTTTTATGAATAGATATACATTTTATCAAAATCTAAATGTAAACGAACAATAGCTACATGTATACAAACATCTGATAGCACGGCTAGAAAATCTAAGGTATGGCATGATTTTTCAGTAAGTAGACAGCAACTCACCACAAGAACAGAATAACCATTTATTTTGAAAGTCATTCTTCCTTACATAAACATCAAACAAGGCTAGCAGTGCACCCTGATACCGAGGCTACCTAGCCTACCATACATAACATCCTTTTTCCTCTAAAAAAAAAAGGATCTATCGATATCTGGCACTATCTTCAATAATCACTTCATAAGACCAAGTTCCCACAGGTTTGTCCACTCTCACTTTGACGGCCTCATTAGATGGACTTCAAGAAGGAATTAAATGCACTGTATCTCCGCTTTTAAGCTCTTCAGTATCTTTGGCTCCCTTGTGGTAATTACTTGCTTGATGTTCCTTGTTGATTAGCAGCTTGTCATGGACATTATGATCAACTACTGGTCTAAGGAGCCGTGGTAAGGTAGGGACTTGGGTTCTTGTCTGTCTGCTCATGAGTTGTACCACTGAGCTATTGTCCATTCCCTGACTGGGTGTGTTCCTGTATTCAAGAAGTGCAAGATAAGGATCTGTCTTGGCCTTTCTAGATTTCTTGATAACTGCCTTTGCTGACTTGATAGCTGCCTCAACTTTCCCCTTACTCTGAGGGTATGTCAGGGAGCTTGTCACAAGAGCGAAACTCCACTGATGACTGAACTCCTTAAATTCATGCGAAATAAACTGTGAGCTGTTGTCTGACATGCACATCTCTGTGCCATGCAAATTGGACCTTTAACTTCTGGATCACTGTTGCTGACCACATGTCCTCAAGAAGATCAATTTCCCAAAACAAGGAGTAGTAATCCACACAGATGATGTAGTTACAACTCCTGTAACTGAATAGGGCAATTCTAACATTAGCCTAAGGTCTATCTGGGACTATATGGGAAATCAGCGTCTCTTTAGGCTGTCTCTTAATTGTCATAGGATTTACAAACACCACGCACCTCAATGAACTGTTGGATCTCACTACTCATGCCAGGCCATTAGATGCATTCTCTTGCTTGTGAAAGGCTGCTGACAACACCGGAGTGCGCATAATGAAAGTAACACATCAGGTCTTGACACAGTGACAGAGACCGTGAAGATGTAAGAGATAAACTACAGACTTTGAAAAATCATACAACTACAAAAGGAAAGCTGAAATTATTAATTTAGGAGAAGGGAACATTAAGTTGAATCTCTGAAAGCAGAGTGAGAGAAAATTTTTATTTCAGAGATTTTAGTTATTATTTTCATTCACAAAGTTTCAGTGATTTATTCTGGCCTTAAATTCTGTGTTTAAAATCTTAAAGTTGGTTCTTGCTTTAAGTGAGGGACCATAGCCCAGCAGTATGGGACATCAAAAAAGTGAATAAGATGATTATTTGTAATTTTCATTGAAATTGTTTAATCAAGCCTGCATCTGTTATTTATTTTTAAAACATCTGTCTAATGACTTTTGAGGTACATCTTAAGTAAAGTATTAATATAACTTCCAACTTCCAATAAAAATTTCCTCAACTTGTGTTTACAGAAATCCTCTTCAACAACTCTTTTGAATGTCCATGCAATGACTGGTGTTGAATTGATCCCTGGGAAAACCATCAGATTCTCAGTCCAAAGGAGACCCCTTTGGACTGAGAAAATTTTATTAACCCATTCAAAAGCGGCATCTTAGAACATAGTGACGTCATTTGCGTAATTGTGCTTTGCGGCTGACAAGCCAATATGGCGACAAGAAAGCCTCTTCACAGTAGTCACAGCTTTGATACGGAATCTAGCGAAGGGGGAAGAGAATTGTTCGAGGCTTGTAGAAATGGTGACGTAACAAAAGTCAGAAGAATAGTTAACATCAATTCCAATGTAAATCTCCGAGATACAGCCGGCAGAAAGTCATCTCCGCTACACTTTGCAGCAGGTAAGCGAATTCGATGAAAACAAACAAATGGCGCTCTCATCATTTCAACATCTCTGAAAGAAAGTCAGTCATTTTGTTCTTTTGCAGATGATCTGATCGATTTCTTTTTGATCGAAGTTATCTGCTATGTTAAATTTCGCGATTTACGAGAAGCTTGTGTAATCTTGAATGCAGTAAGGATGTAGTCTTTTTATGAAAACTTTCGCAAGCCTTTACCTCGACTTTTAGCGCTTTCTCTATTTTTACAGAAGCTGATTTGTAAAAGTTTATTTTATATATAATGATTTCTCGATTTACGTTGAAACGTTGCGTAACGTGTTGAAATAAACCAAACATGGAATTAGTTTTAGCGAATCGAAGCGGACAGAATTATCAAAATTATTGCCAGAGATAACTCTGTGATATGCATGTATGGCTGACATTTTACGAAATCCTGAACTGTTTTCGATTGTAATTTCTTTTTGCTGTGTGATCTGTTTCCTCTTTACTTACCTAACTGTGTGATGACAGTTGTTCAAACGAAACTAAATTATTTGAAGTATAAATAGCACTTTTTAAAGGCCTTTCATTGTGACTTTTAAAGAACATGAATTTTTACAATGCATTTTTCTTGCCCCCGCTGAGAGACAGCTCACATGTATGGCGGAATGAAGAGAACTTAGAGGTGTATTGTGACGATTTGAGGAGTAAGATTTGAAGAACCTTTCATGAAACCAGTACCTAAGGGAAAGAGTCCTATAGTGTACGTAATCGCTAAGTGAGGAGTATTTTCCTTCTGTGTGTAAAGCTTGTCTTGTTACTTCTAAATTTCAGGATTTGGAAGAAAAGAAGTCGTGGAGTACTTGCTGCAACATGGAGCTGATGTGCATGCTAAAGATGATGGTAGGATCTGTTTACTATTACAGTTTTCATTTTCACACAATTTATCATCTTGCCATACCCATAAGTACTACACTTTTTTTTTTTTTTTTACCTTGAGTCACTTTTGGGTAATCATAGACATATTTTTTAAGGGGGTCTTGTTGGTTTGTCAAGTTTGGTTGTACTCCAAGATGGCTTAAGACTTTGTTGGGCAGAGCCAGGATGGCTCAAGTGAGACATGGGGCATGGCCAGGAGGAAGCTCTCATAGGAACTGTGGCATGAATAGAGAGGCTGCAAGATATAAGTGGCCTCATGCTGAATTGCTAATGAGAGCTTGTTGGATGGCTTCTGAAAGTAATTGACAGCAAAGTATGATGTGGCCATAGTTGCATTATAGATCAAAGAAAAAGAGACTCCAGTGGGGGAAATGTTCTCTTCTGCAAGGATGCTACAGAGTCCAGAGTCCTGATATAAAAATGCTGATGATGTGGTTCATTTTGCTTTTGGTTTTGATGTTGTCCTTATTTTGGGGTTGTGTGCTTGTGGTTTGTTGTAATTTTAAATAACTCATGTTGCCGTTTTCTTTATGAACCATGTTTCCTTGCAGTATTGATCCTAACAGGGACTTATTTAGCTCTGTTATTGTGGCCCTTAGAATTTATTAGTGATACAGTTGAATACAATTTTTTTTAATCTAGAAAATCATGGATAGCCAAAATGAAAAATATTATTGTCTGTGTTGTGTGACACCTGTAGATATTTATAAGAATTGATATTCTTCATGTATTTGAGTACAGGAAAAAAAAGCTAAAAAAGCTGATGTCATGAAGTCCAATTGGAGGATAGAAAAAGGCAACATCCAATTATTTAAAAAGAGTGAATCTCAACATATTGATGAGAAATCAAAGTAAAAACATGCAAACTGCCTGAATCAGGAAGAAAGTTACCACTGGTTTTAGTTTTGCATCTCACTGAATAATAGGAGAGTGTACAAGTAAATTTTAGAGCAAAGTGAAACAATACTAATGCAATTGAAGGCAACTTTAGTCCTCCCTGGAAATTGTTCCAAACTTGTCAATGACTTAAGACTAACATTCCATGTTTGTTAATACCCGTTTAATATGAACATATTGGTATTGAACTTTTACAGCTCAGAACTACACTCTATGAACTTGTCTTTTCAGTTCATTGTTTTCTTTCTCTCTTGCGCGACCATTTGCCTGAAATTTAGTCAGTTATTGTTTTTCTTTTATGTAGAGCAAAATGGTGGGTCAATCAGTTTTCCTTATGAATCTTCGGTAAATGTAACTTTGTTAATTGGTTTGGATCAATTTGGTATTTCAGGAGGGTTGATACCACTTCATAATGCCTGTTCATTTGGTCATGCGGAGGTGGTACGATTACTTCTGCGACATGGTGCTGATCCTAATTCAAGAGATAACTGGAATTATACCCCTTTACATGAGGCTGCTGTGAAAGGAAAAGTGGATGTTTGTGTGGGTCAGTAGTGCAGCTTGTTGTAAAAATCACTTTCTTACAGATCCCTTGGTTTTGCATGTTGTTTATTAAGGATACTCCAGGTCCTCTGAAATACTCAAGGTCCATTGAATGAACCACAGTTGATTTGGTTTTACTTATTAAAAATAAAGACGTCAAATAAAATGATTCTTTCAGTATACGACCATTGCATGACATGTTGATGTGAGCAGTGTTGTCTGTACTCTTGCTATTTACAACAGCAGATTAGCCAATCAGGTTGTGACATTACTGCCAATTGTGGTAAAAAAAATTTTGAGTAGAGGGTTTAGAAAATATCATTGTATGATTGTAATGTCAACCTTGGTTACTTTGCTTAAATGTGGTCTTTGAATCCATTCAAGCTTAATTACAGTCTGTGTTGTTATTAATAACTACAGAAGTTTCTTGGATTGTTTGCAACTTAAATATGAGTATAATTGCACATGTAAACTGTTTATCTCCTTTATTTAATGATTATCAAATACTATGTAAGGCAGAGCAAAATATCCTGATAAGATTGGTCAGAAGTGAGTAGATGACTATTTGCCAAAGCTGAAGGCAAATAATTAATCTGCGAGACATTGACAATTCATAAGGTCTCAGGATAATCAAACTAGATGATTATAAAGTAATGTGATTGCTGCAATTATATTTCATTTTATTAGGGAATCTTTTTTTAACAGATCAGACAAGCAAAGAATGTTTTTTGTGCTTGAAAGAGCATAAACACAACTACACAGGAACAGACTATTGTTTATAACAGAACACAGTTAGATGGTATAACACATGAGCAGACCTTTATTTCTGGGCAGTTTTTTGCAGGTCACACAAATGAAAAGGAAGAAAAATTGTTTTGAATTTTACTTGTAATTCTTATTTTTATTCAATAGTTCTTCTGCAACATGGTGCAGACCCTAACATTCGAAATACAGATGGGAAGACAGCACTAGATGTTGCTGAAGCATCTGCCAAACTAGTTTTGACAGGTATGGGTTTTTCACAAAGTATTTTCTGGTTTTTATGTTAAATAGGCCATACAGTGTACCCAGTCCACTCCCTGGCCCTTTTACTCTTTTAATCTTGTAAAACCAGATACTTTTCTTACTTGTTTCATTGTTAAGATATTACTGGGGATATCACTTGAAGTGTAGTTTTTTTCAACTAATATCTCCCTTTATGAATTCCTTCATCTTTCAGGGGAGTATAAGAAGGATGAGTTACTGGAGGCTGCAAGGTATGTGCATGCAGAACAACTGTCATATGCAAATTAATAGGGACCTTCAGTAAACAGGGATTGCAATGGCAACTAGGACATGGCAAAACAAAAGATTTAATGGGCAGAACAATAGCTCAGGGCATGCGTTTTAAAACTGTGTATGTTTCCAAGCCGTCCTCTGCAAAAACAGCAATGTGAAATCACCAAAAATTCGTGTGGTCTGAGGACAGAAACTTGGATGCAATTTTATTAGTATCAATTTGGAACTCATGCTGAACTCAAGGTGTGGCACTGTAAGAGACAGTGAACACATCCAGCTGTCTGCAAAATTCTAACTAAAGATATAAATTCACTATGGATTAATGTCTTCCTCTGCATTGCCATCCTGATTGGTCCCTAATGGGTTGTGAGCAAGTCCCTTTGACTATAATACTGATGCTCTTGCAGGTCAATGTCAACACAGTGATACAAGGAAGTTAATTACTGAAAGTGGGCTTAGTCAAAAATGCTGTGGTTGAACATTCGATTAAGCCCTACAAGCACTATGTCTGAATGTTTATTTTGTTCTTTCTGATTGCTGCTTAGTTCATTTTCTCTTTTTTTCACTTTGTCATGGTGATTTTCATGTGTTTAAGTGTACAGCTATTGTAGTCATTATCATTTTTGAAATAGTTTAGCATCTTTCTTTTGAAAGTTGTCTTGATTTATGTTTACTGTGGTGCACATGCTTTTGAGAATGGTTAACATGTAAAAATGTGTCAATCAATCAAATTATTAATTTCTTTTGTTTGTTTTCTTTTTTGTAGAAGTGGCAATGAAGAGAAGCTCATGTCTCTTCTTACCCCTCTGAATGTTAATTGCCATGCAAGTGATGGAAGGAAGGTTAGCTTAAGCCTGTGTAAAAAGAATATAAAGGAAAAATATTTTTAAAAAATATTCAGTCTTTTGTTTCAGTTACCTCCCCCTCCACACATCATCTTATTAGTGAAACTACTACATCAAGTTACAACCCATTCAGTCTTGTTGAATAACATGTAATAGTTTCTCAAGGATGCACTATCTTGGTTATTATTTGAATATTGTTCTTTGATTGTTGTCAGTCAACTCCACTCCACCTAGCTGCTGGTTATAACCGTGTCAGAGTTGTTCAGCTTTTGTTACAACATGGAGCAGATGTACATGCCAAAGACAAAGGGTGAGTGAACTTGTATATGTAATTCAAGGTAATTGACACTTGCCAAGTCTGAAAGTTATCTGAAAACCAAACTATAGGTAATCTTCCCTTTCATTGGTTTTGGATTGAGAAAATAAATTATAAGTGAATTATGATAAATGTTTGGATTGGGATCATGAGAATTTGGTTCAATTTTTAGAATTTATTCAACATATACAAACTTGAATAACCTTTATATACACTGCAGCCTCTTGTCTCAGCCTGTCAAAAAGTTTGGGATAAGACTTCAGACTGGTCAGATTGACTTGATTACTTTAATTATTTTTATAAAGTAACATTAAGCAGGATTTTCACTATTTAGAGTTAAGATTTTATGTTGTTATTGATTATTATTGACACCTATCTAATGTTTTTTTTCAGTGGTTTGGTGCCATTACACAATGCCTGCTCATATGGACATTATGATGTCACTGAATTATTAATAAAGGTAATTGAAGAATACTTTTGTTCAAACTTGTGGTAATTATAACAGTTTTAATTCAGTGAATATTTTTGCTGGCTCATGATTGGTCTTAAAGTATCATATGGTTGAAAATGCCCTGGCTAAAACTGGGAAATATAAGAGGATATACCCCAATTGATATTCCCCAATTTTTAAACCTTGCATATATTGCCATGAAAGTGTTCATTTGAAATTTAATTCAAGATGAAAGAAGGTCTAGCTATTGTTACTGAAGAATGGACATATCTGTCTGTTTATTAAGTCCTACTAGAGAACACTGAACAGTAAGCATTCTACTTAGCAAATAGTGTGCTGTATGTTGACATTTTTCTGGCACATTGCCAAAATATTTGAAGGATGATAAATACCATTGCCTCCATTTGGTGCAAAAATATGCACAGATATTTGTCCCCTTACATAATCTGTTTTGAGATGTGAACAGTTTTCTGAAAGCAAAGTTGAGGGAAACTTTGAGCTTCAAAGAACAGATACATCCAAGGAAATATACCCTTGCATGTTTTTGTGTCAAATAGAGGCTATAGTCTATTTATGATCCATTAAATATTTTTGCTTGCATGATTTGTCTCAAGGCTTCAGAGGACTGGATATTCCCCAGCTAAAACTTGGACATTATCTCTTCCTTGAAGCTCACAGTTTTCCTTGAGCTTTGCTCTCAAAAAATTTTTGCATCTTGGAACAGATAATTTCTGCTAACAAATATCCATGCATTTTTTCATGCCAAAAAAAGGACATTGTTTATATATTATGATGTTTTTATACTTGCTGATGTGTTTGTATGAGTCTTATTTTAGAAAGTTTGATATCTTTTACTCTTTTGTAGCATGGTGCAAGTGTTAATGCCATGGACTTGTGGCAGTTTACTCCTTTACATGAGGCAGCTTCCAAAGCAAGGTAAATGAACTGTGTTTAAAATTAGCTGATAAACAGCAGTTGATAATAATATTATTTATCAGAATCTATTGAAGAGGCTGCTCCTCTTGTTGGTAGCTTACAGACCTGAATCATTGAGAAGGAGGGCCATCTGTCTTTCATTTTTATCTTACCACATTTGAGTGCTCAAAGTACTCCTTTTGAATTTTTTTTTGTTGGCACAGATGGTCAATGAAGAATATCAAACTTGAAAAAGGGAGAAATATATATGTATAATTATATATGTGTGTGTTTTTAGTGCAAAAGAAGAGTTTCCTAATAAATGAGTTTGTCTTGACCATTCTTGAAGCCTTTTCATCCTTTTTATTTTAGGGTGGAAGTGTGTTCTTTGCTACTAGCTCATGGTGCTGACCCCACATTACTTAACTGTCACTCCAAGGCTGCTGTTGATGCTGCTCCAACAAGAGAACTTCAGGATAAGCTTTCTTGTATGTACTGTTTACATGCATGCTCCATTCGAGGCTGTTCTTTAGTATTGTGTTTCAGCCATATCTTAGAACCTGATAGCAAGCCTGTCAATAACTTTGGCAGTGAAAGGCAGAAAAGTAATAGTGGGCAGCTAGGTCGTGGTGCACACCTTGTTGTTTGGTCAGATAAAACGCAAGACTGGTAATTAATCAGTTGAGTTGTTTCAAGCATTTTGTGAAGTTCCCATAAGCATTCTGAATGTGGAATCAGTTTGCACTTATTAACCTGTTATTGTGAACTAGGCAGCAGTTTTGATCAGCTACAATGAATAAGCTCTTACTGGCAGCTCTATGATAGGTGCATTTGTATAATAACATTTTAGCTTTTGTGTAAACTTGTAATTTTTTTTACTTCTTTTGTACTGAGCAGTGACTTTTTTTTCTCCAAAGGAAAGTTAGAGTTTTTTTAACTAGTCCCCTCTTAATACTTATTGTCCTAATTCAAACTCAAACAAAGCTCCTACCCTTGCTGAGACAACTTAGCTATAACCTATCTTTTGTTTTTAATATTGTTAATTTGATCTTTCCTTCCTTTTCAGTTGAATTTAAGGGTCATCAGCTTTTGGAAGCAGCCAAGTTATGTGACTGTACGAAACTGAAGAAGCACATCACCCCAGAGATCATTAACTTCCAGCACCCTCTTACTCTTGAGAGTTCTTTGGTGAGCATATGTGGTTTCCTGATAACAAGCTGCTATTTGTGAATATAGACAGTTATTTTTGCTGTCTAAGACAAGAATCATACATTTGGTTGCTGGGTTAGGGCATGGAACTAAATTAATAACATGTTGTGATTGTCACTGTTTGTAAATTTACCAAAAATTGAGACCCTGTCAAGATGTACCCTTGGCAGGACAGAGTTGAAACCTCTACCCACCTACACCCTTTAGGGAATCCAAGTCTTTGTTGAATTAAATATTAACTTATTATCGATTTGGCTTTGTTAGACAAGTTACAATAACTTATGCGTTCAATTACATGATGTACACAACATTTTAATAACAATGTACCTGCTTTTCTTTTTAGCACCTTACGGTAGGTTCTGTTTGTCAAAAAAGGAAAGCTGCCATTGAATTACTGTTGAAGAAAGGAGCGGACACAAGCTTACAAAACAAAGAGTAAGCATTACATGAATTAGTTTTTCTCCTTGTGAGTTTTCCAGCTATCTTCAGGGTTTAGTTTATGTAGGAAAGTAATATTGTTGATGAATTTGTTTCTTTAAAGCTCCTTGACACCTCTTCACATTGCCTCAGAAAAGTCACATCTTGATGCTGTGGAACTATTGATGAAAAATGGTGCTAAGGTAAGGGCCAGCTGCCATTGTGATAGGTTTAGTGTTCTATGGGAACATCAACAAGAGCTGGCATGCAGCAGATGGGCTACAACTACAATTTGTATCTACATGCATGTCCATTCTGTTCATTCAAATTTTCAGCCTTCATTTGAACCAAAGATAGTTTACTGAGAAGTGAACCACATGTTCTTGAAATCCAAACCTTTGCTTAAGACTAACAGGACATTATTATTATCATTTAAAAGAATAAAACTGTGTTGTGATCACTAGGGAGAATAAAGAAGATTAACTTTAGTCTAGTTTCTGCTTTCAGCCTAACGTTTCGGCCTAACGTTCAGCCTAACGTTTCAGCCCTCCAGAGTGAGGTATGAGTTATTGCTTTATTCAACCTTTCACATTTCATTTTGGCACAGGTCAATACAGTAGATGCTCTAGGAGAGACTCCTTTACATCGTGCTGCAGCTGCTGGGCAGATGTCAGTTTGCAGAGTCCTACTTACGCATGGTGCAGACATAGGATTGCGATCTTTTCAAGGCCATACTGCAGCAGAAGTTGCCTCGGAACCTGTTCAAAAAATTCTACAAGGTAAAAGAAATTACCTTTTGTTGCCATTTAGATGGTATCATATAGGAGTACTGATTTAAAGGAGTCTCTTTCAGAGGATCCACCTTCAACTGGTTCAGATGTGGAGAAGCAATTACTTGAGGCTGCAAAATCAGGTGACATGGAACTTGTAAAGGTAAACTTGTATGGTATTTCTGTTTTGTTTTTGTTTATTTTCATGAGAATAATACCCTGTGCACCCCCTGGAATGTCCAATAATGTATGCTGGGGCTAGCCTGAAGAATGTGGGGCACTATATTGTGTTTTCAATTTAGTTTAGGTAAGCCATAAAGGTATTTCATAGGGAGAGTCATAGGAGAGAAAGGGAAAAAAGGAAAAACTTGGTCCCTGTGTACCCGTTGTTACTTTGCTGCAACCAGACATGCCACATACACCACTTTTTCAAGTTCCTCCTCCCATGCACAACTCTAATTTCATGCTTGCCTGGACATTGCTGCTCCCTGCCTAAAAGCACACAAAAGAGAAGCCTGTATTGCAGGCCAATTTAGTTCATGGGTGTTTTCTGGAAATGTACTTCATGAGCAGTTGTTGGTTGTACATAAAAAAATAAACCTGGCTGTTAAGTTCAGTTTGTAATTAAATTTTCTAATATACATGCAGTCATCAACAACATATGATCATTTTTTTCATAATGTTTATCAGTTATCATCAATACCCTAACTTGACGCTTCCTATGTTTTAGAAACTGTGCACCCCACAAACTGTAAACTGTAGAGATCTTGAAGGACGGCACAGCACTCCTCTTCATTTTGCTGCTGGTTACAACAGAGTGGCAGTAGTGGAGTATCTGCTACAGAATAGAGCTGATGTTCATGCTAAAGACAAGGGGTAACAAATTTCAAAACATATTTTCATTGAATTGTAATAGTTTTGGTGAATTTAGAGATACATTTGCCATGAATGTTGAGTATTATGTAGTATCCTGCCATAATCACCTTGTGCAAGATGATTCAAACACTAAACCACTACAGTAATTTACAAAATGGCTTTGGCACAGATTTTTGTCTTTTCTGAAGAAGAAAATGAAAGAAAACGAGAGTTGCTTTGATGTTCAGTGCAGTAGTTTTTAGAAAATGTTCTTAAGCTGGCTATGATTGTTAATTGATCTTCTTGATTTCCTGTTGGGGATTATTCAACAGTGTCCACTTCAACTTTGGTAAATACCCTTTGATAGGGATTGAATTTTTTTCAGATAAAGCCATGAATTGATGCCCCCCTTCCCCTTTCTGTTTTAGTTGACCAAAATTACTAGATATAAAGTGTGGGCATGAAGTGTGATACAAATTCGCTTTTTCTCTCCTTCATATTTTTTTTTTCAGAGGGCTGGTACCACTACATAATGCTTGTTCCTACGGCCACTATGAAGTAGCTGAATTACTTGTTAAGGTAATGCAGAGACACCTACACTATGCAAACAAACTTAACGGCAGTGACCATGTATTTGTTACTTTATTTGAGGTCAGCTTTCCTAGAAACGCAATCAACTATTTTTAGTGAGGGTTGAAATGACAGATTGACCACTCTTGAGATAAATTTAATGCTGTAACCGCTAAGCGTGACAAGCTTCTAATTTCACCTTTTAGTACTACCTTTTAATCATAAGTTGAGGTCATGAAAATAAAGGAAATGATCACCAATTTCAGAAGTTCCTGATTGTCACTCAAATTCTCAAAATCAGTACCATGGGAGATATACTGTAAAGAGAACAGTCTGGACGATATGATTACTAATCTTGGTGTGTAAAGGGTAGATTTGCATAATAGGAGCGTTCTCTTTGAGCAACTTTCGTTCCAACACAAATGCTGTAATGTGATTCTAAACAAAGAAATGGGTTGCTTGAAATCTTTCATTCTTTTCTATTATGTAGCATGGTGCTGTTGTCAATGTGGCTGATCTCTGGAAGTTTACTCCACTTCATGAAGCTTCCGCTAAAGGAAAATTTGAGATCTGCCGGCTTTTGCTGAAGGTATATTTCTGGTAATATAGAATAACACAAACATAGAAATGATTAATCATGAATAAACAAACATGGTTAAGGATGGAGAAGAATATCACGGACTGCTGTTTAAACTTAGTATTAATATTCACAAATTATGATGTGGCTTCTTTGTTTTCTCATTTCTTCAGCATGGAGCTGATCCTCTAAAGAAAACTCGCGATGGTCAAACTCCCTTGGACCTTGTGAAAGAAGGAGACGCTGATGTAGCAGACTTACTGAGAGGTGAAATTCTTTAACTTTACGGCAAAATTGAGATGAAGTGGTGTACTTCTGTTGTGTTGAATTTAATAGTTTTAAAAAGTATTAAATGTGAGACTGGCTTTTTTCTTTTGTGGCAGGCGATGCGGCTTTGCTTGATGCAGCGAAGAAGGGAAACTTAACAAGGGTAATTATTGCAGTGTACGAATTAAAGCAACATTTCCCCATTGGTATATCTGTGCTCTTATGTTAAAGGTGAAGACATGACAATGAGTAACAATGTGTGTACTTTTCTTAGGTCATGAAACTGTCCACGCCGGAAAATATCAACTGTAGAGATACTCAGGGACGCAACTCGACTCCTCTGCATCTTGCTGGTACATGAGTGCATTTTGTTTGATTAACTCATTTGTACAAACACTCGTGCGAACAACAAGAGTCTAATGCTTCAAACAGCATCTTTTCCAAATTCGTAATACTGATCAATTTATCATTTCAGTTTTTCACTCAACAATCAATAATCACGAATTATTTGTAGAAACGAAAGGTCTTTCTCAACTGTAACTGTTTAGAAAGGTTATTTGGAGGTGTTTTTTTCCCCTTAAGTGCAATGAAATATGAGTAAAGCCACGTTAAAGAGATGACATGTTGATATCACGTGTAGTCGAATGAGGACGTTTTCTTTTGTCCCTGGTTCCTTTACGGTTAATTGTTACGTCCTTTGTCTTCTGCAGCTGGTTACAATCATTTTGAGGTTGCCGAGTATCTGTTGGAGAATGGAGCTGATGTAAATGCTCAGGATAAGGGAGGGTTGATACCATTACACAACGCTTCTTCTTATGGCGTAAGTTTACTCCTATTGTGTTGCTTTATGTTGGGCCCGTTACCCCTAAAGGTTATACCGGTCTTTGAAGAATTGCGCCCCAGGACTTATAACCAAAATTAACCCTCTCCACCCTAACATCTGTATGTACATGTATATTCTCCATACTGTTCCCTATACATTCCCTAAGGTGCTGATGCGGAGAATTTGTGTCATAATCCAGAGCTTCTCTAATTGGTTACCATTTTCTTTATTCTCATTACCTTACTGTGTGATTTTGGGGTGATATTGTAAGGAGAAATTGGATGCTAGTCACTCTTTGGGGATAAAGGGTTAAAACTCCTACAACATCCAGTTAGAAGAGAAGAAACTATCTCCAGGAGCCAATGAGAACTCAACGTGAAAACAAGCAACCTGCTTGGAGCCTGGGGAAATGCGCAGGACCAAATCATGATCGGTTTTACTTTTGAATCTGATTGGTTTTAAAAAAAAGCGCGAATTTTCGGGATCAATCACATAGCGAAGTAAAGTAAAATTAAGGCAATCTTGGAGTCTTCTCGACACTCAATGGAAAATTGCTCGGACAAAATAAGCGCTTGTACACAGCATTTTCAAACATGTTTGATTTCGATTTCTTACTTGAGTACTTGATGTTTATTTTAGCATGTGGATATTGCGTCTCTTCTCATAAAACATAACACCGATGTAAACGCCACTGACCGTTGGCTTTTTACTCCACTACACGAAGCCGCCCAGAAGGGAAGAACTCAGCTCTGTGCTTTACTGGTACGTGTGATAACTTAGATCATTTTAATGCCTCTTTCTGTTATTGATGAGCGAAATCTTAAGTCATGACATAAGCAAATAAAATAAAGGAGAACATCACAGGGAACCACTTAAAACCCAGATGTAGTATCAGCGAGGGAATTCACTGAGGTGCGATTGGTTTTTCTTGTGCTCATGATTGGGTACGAGGATAGCGCGATTTTTCTTTAACAACCACTTTATTTCGAACGGAAACATAACCACAGTAATACCGGGTTATTTGCGACACAGAACTGAAAATTGCTCCATCTTCAGTATGTACTAATTATTTGAAATTGGGGTATTGTAATTTTTATTGATTATAGGTACGTAATGCGCGCTTGGTTCCATGGAAAAATTTAGAGTTAATCTTCGATTTTCTTCTATTCTTCCATTTTCCTAGTTGGCTCATGGTGCAGATCCCACCATGAAGAATCAGGAAGCACAGACAGCTCTGGATCTTGCCACAGTAAGGAACTCCAAATGAAATTATCAGTTTCTAGAAGGATGACTGTAGAATATCTCTTTCTGCAACGGGTCGTGTTTTAAAACGCACCCGCCATGAGGCTACCGACTCGCTCAGTTCTCTGTTTTTGTTTTTGTTGTTGTTGTTGGAATATTTAGGTACTACGGTTGGGGTATCGAAAATTTTTAGAAGTGCAAGATTGTCATTTTCAGTCCATAATATTCTTCTCAAACTTAGACGTCTTTGCTCGTGGTTTAGTGTGTTTTGCGTTTTGCTTTTTCGTGAGTGTGTGTTTTCTTTCTTGCTGAACTAATAGCCTGGAACCTCTTTTTTTTGTCGAAGGTGGTTTTCCTCGTTGTACAAATTTGCTGAAATATCGTGAAGTTTCCCATCTAAGTAGTGTCAATTCCGATTGCCATGAATAACCTTTCTTACGCATCTCTCTCTTTCATGACAGGCGGAGGATGTAAAGTGTCTGTTGAGTGACGCTATGATGGCCCATGTAAGTACCAGCCCCCCGAGTACCCCGGCCCCTACCACACCCTCAAACAGCAATGCGTCCCCTTCACCCAATACCAGCAACACCAGCAACACCAGCAACACCTCGCCACTGTCGCAGGCCAATGCTAGCTTACTGGCTAATAGTCCTGCAGGCTCAGGAGATGGAGCCGTCAACAAGCGATCCATTGCCGAAGCTCAGGGATGTGGAGCGACACGGATTATGATACCAGGTAAATATTTCTTCTTCTCTAATACGCCTTTATAATTCCTGTGCTTATAAAATTCAGAAGGAGCTTTTGGTGGCCTTACAACTGAAGGGATAAACTACCGGAATACGTAAAAGTTCGCAGAATGCTGATAAGGAAGCGCTCTTTATTTTATCACATGAAAAACAATTTCTTAACTCTACAGCAGGCTTTTTACTGTCCATGGTGCTCGACGAGAGAGTACAAAGTCTTTGTATCATCCTCTATTTGTTCAGCTTTTTCTGGGGATTTGATTTGAAGAAAAAACAAAAAGTCAAAAAAGGAATGGGTGGGATGCAAAAACCTTTCAAGCGATATTCTCATGTAAAGGGCAAGACATGGGGGGGGGGGGGGGGTGCGTCTAACCAGCATAAAATGATGGAGGGGTGGGAGTGGAGAATGGGGAGGACTTTTATGTGACAATTGTTGCGAAATTCTTAGCATTGGAGAGACCGTAGACCGCTGCCTCGAGTGCCTTTTTGTATTTCATAATTTCTACACTGGTGATGATTTGAACATATCTTTTTTAAGGTCACCCTGGTTTGGATCTTGATGTTGGTGACTTCCTTGACAGCTTACAACTGAATAACCTGAAGGATATATTTGAAAAGGAGCAGGTTAGGAACTGTAAAAAGGTCTTAGAATAAGAAACTTTCTATTTAAGAAATTTTCTTCTGGAGATGAACTTTGTTCGTTTGTCTCACGATAGAGTCACTTGATCGCGATCAACATCAAAAGTGACTCTATCATGAGACTAACGAACAAAGTTCATCTCCTATCTTACACCACGATGAACAATAAACACATATTTTATTACAAGTTTCTTCTGTTTGTTAGTCCTGAGTTTGACATTCTGTAATGACGTGTGGGCTTTTTTTGTGGTACCCAGATTTCCTGGGATGTGCTGGTTGATATGGGCCACGAGGAGCTGAAAGAGATTGGTATCCATGCATTTGGGCACAGGCATAAAATCCTTAAGGCGGTGAAGGAGAAACTGTCTGGACTACCAGAACTTGGTGAGCTTTGTCATGCTGCTCATGATGTAGAGACAGTAAAATATATAGAAAATTGTGATGTATTTGTGACTGAGATTAGCAAAGAATTCACGAGTGTTTTAGGGCCCGCAGTGGCTCAGGTGTTAACATACGTACTGTTTTAATGTGTTTTAGGCGGTGGTCCCTTCACCTATTCCAACCAACAGGGAACTGTTTTTTACGAGTTGTCAGTGGATGATAAAGACTATGTATCAGTAGCGGAAGAGGTATTTAATGTGTTTCTTTCTAGATAAAACAAGAAAGATTTTCATGGTAGCGACTAGCAAACAAGTGTTCGAGTGCGCGCGCTCGAATCCTAAAGTTCTCTAACCATTATGTTTTGAATTTGTATTAATTTGATTACTGTAACCTAAACTTTAGCACCTCAATATGGCTATAGGTCACTAACGCTTTACCAGTTAGGTTTTGTGATTTGCCTACCTCCCCCTCCCCCTCCCCCCCCTAAAAAAAAAGGTATTCTATAAATGTAGGAGAGAGAGAGGAGGGGTGCTCTCACTCGAGTCCCATCTCTATTCCTGTGAGTATGTCTGACTTTTTTTCGCCTGTAGATGCAGAGCACTGTAGTAAAACACAAGAAAGATGGCGGACAATCCGGAGGGGTCTTTGATTCCTACCATATTTTAAGGGTAAGTCTGACCGAAACAGGTTCGCCTATAGGATGGTGTTCGACACAAGGCTATGAGACCTGAAAGAGTTAACGCTGATGAGTTTACATATCAATGAAACAATTGTTCACATCTTTTAAGGTACTTTGGATTCTGTAGTTTACGGAATTTTTGTTCGTTGATATAAGAATCTGAACAGTTTTAACAATTGTTACTATCACACTCGACCCTGTTTATGCCCGCTGGTCTTATAAATTTGAGAGAAACACGACTGCACAAACATTTGGCCACATTTGCGCTGCGTCAAGCAATAGATTTTCTCTCTCCTGCAATTACTAATACATACGCATGATGTATTTCTTTTTCAGATTCAAAGGGTTATAAACAAGCGTCTGTGGGATAAGTACGTGTACAGGAGGAGAGAGGTGAGAGCCTTTTGAGTGAGAGCCAAAAGCTGATCAATAATTTCCTTTCCAGCTTGTTGATTTTAGTAAGGAGAGGTTACGTGTTTGTTGTCATTCAAGTTTGGTGAGGTTTTCATCATCAGTCTATATTCGTCACGAAATCATGAGTACTGAAAATGTTGGATCAGATTGCATCATCTTCTTTTCCAGGTTGCAGAAGCTAACCACAACCATAGTAACGAGAGGATGCTTTTTCATGGTATGTGCTTGAACCAGTTTCAGCGTTATTGTGTAAAGTAACAGAAAGTGACCTGCGTTCAAATTTATAACTAGGCTTGGTTACAATACAAAACACACCAATAACAGCAAACCAAGGGGCTATAAGTGGTGACACGTAAACTTTCGACCTCGTCGCCTAACAAAGACTGGCAGGATAGCAGTCGAAACATCACAATCGATGCAATTGATAGCGTGGCTCTACGTTATCTTTAACAGTCATGAAACTCTGGAAATATCAAGATATCGCCTACTCTTGAGTAAAGTGTACTCTTTCTCCAATTTGTCTGTGAACGCACCTTCTTTCTCAGAAGCTGAAATTCGGAAACCAAATACGTATGCAATACTGAGTGTCTAACTCGCCCAACCGCTTTTTTTTATAGTCCGTGGATCATTTTGAACGAATTAAGGTGAATGGTTATCTTCAAAGATTAATCTCAGGTCTGTCTTTGAACTCAGGGTCGGCATTTATACACGCTATTCTGCAGAAAGGATTTGACGAACGTCATGCTTATATCGGAGGCATGTTTGGCGCGGGTGAGTTTTTCCTTTTTTAGCTACGTTTGGTTCTGTTCAGTAAACTTGCGCTTTGCCGCAACCAATCAGATGGAAGACTAAAAGCAATCGTGGCTTGGTTATCTGCGTTTTTGTGCGCTCGATGTCGTTCACTCGTTTTTACCTTTAGATCTCATTGGTTCCTAGTGATATTTAACAACTATTCACTGAAGTAGAGGTGGTTGGAGATAGATATTTGTCATGCGGCGAGGTAAATATTCATCGCTAGCCACCGACACTGAAGTGAATAGTTGTTTAATAAACTAAAACAGTGAGATAATATAGTGCAAAAAGATTATTTTAACTCGTTTATTCCTGCAATTATGACAATATTTTTGGGAGCAAATTCCGCTCAAGTTGTTCAGAGGTTACTTGCAGAGGACATAGCCAATCAGAGCACGCCCTCAACGCTAGCCACAGTTTTAGTATATACTGATGAGATTTCTTCTGATTGCCGTTGTCATTTTCAGTTCGTTTTGGTGTGGTTACATTCAATCGATTTGTCATCTGATTGGTTCGTTTGGAATAGTGTCGTCATCAGGACTGGATAGACGATTCCTTAAACCAAATGAACTTGAACTAGACCTTTTACTTTAGTTAATAATGCATTTTTTTTTGTATCATTCTCTTTCTATTTAGGTATTTACTTTGCGGAAAATTCTTCCAAAAGCAACCAGTATGTATATGGTATTGGTGGAGGATCAGGCTGTGCTCTCCACAAGGACAAATCTTGTTACCTATGCGAAAGGTAACGACGAACTGCGAGTTTTTCTTACAGCTCTCGATAGGAGTAAACAACGTTGAATACATATATTTTGTTTTGGAACAATAGATTGTGTGTATGTTCCCTTTAGTTGTAGTTTCTTATGAGGAAAAATTTGAGCGCTAACAACTCTTTTCGCGAGCGTTGTTGTTCAAAACTTTTACGGATGTACGCCATGTTTTTCGCCTTGAGGTTATTTTGTAAGCGTGTTAGTGGGGAAGTGAATCGTTTATGTGATCGAAAGTTGTTTTTCTTAAGACCGTTTTAACATCTGGAGGTGGGTTAACAGTTACCATATATTGAGTTGTGCACAATTTGCCTTAACAGGAAGGTGTTGACAAAATATAGTTTGATACGGTAAAAGAACACAAAGCGAAAACAATGAACTAAGAGGGAACGAGGGTGATCAACCGTGGAGGCGATTGCCCCGGATTGGAAGTGGAAATCTCGACAGCCATAATATTCCTCGATGGTTAAACCATGACTTAGTCCCTAAATTCGTTACACCCTAACATCAGTTTGCAAGTCCTCCGTACTGTCCTCTGTACGTTTCCCATGTTGCTTACTAGGAGAATTTGCTTAATAATCAAGAGCTTCTTGACCCCGCGATCATTTCTTTTATATTCATGACCAGAATATTTGATTCAGGGGTGATACTATTGTACGAAATTAGATGCTTAGAGGAGTTAAGGCAACGTCCGGCCGGCGGTCCAAAGAAAAACAACATTGTCACATGTGATTTTCATGTATATCTGAATCATCAGGCAGTTGCTGCTATGTCGTGTGGCTCTTGGTAAGCCATTCTACCAGTTCTCTGCCGTCAAGATGGCACATGCACCTCCAGGGCATCACTCAGTGATCGGTCGTCCGAGCTCGGAGGGACTCTCGTTCGCAGAATATGTTGTATACAGAGGAGAACAGGTACACAAGCATTGTTTGCACCATCCATTTCCGATAGCAAATAGTAATAGCCGATTTATAAAATACTGTCATATTAATTGTTCCCCTCTCCCAGTTCTGGTGCCAAAAATACCACAATCGCTGGCTAAAATTGGTTTGAGAAATGTTTCACTTATCATAAGTCTCATCGTCAGGATTGCGTTTTACTAAATTATGGGTTGTAGAAAGTTTTTTCTTTAACAGCTCCGGCCATTGTGCCTGTGTGCACCGGCCAAATATTCAAATGACGTTTTGTGAAAGGGGTATCCGCTTGTCTCGGGGAACTACGACCTTTCCCCTTCCCTCCACGTTCATAACGCTTCGTTGCCTCTGCTCTTTCATATGCAGGTGTGGGTGCCCTTTGATATGATGCTGTTTCTTTCAGAGTCTTCAGCTTAGTGTGGGGGTGTCTGTGTGTGACGTTTGTGTGATTAAGAGACCTTTAGAGAATCAATAATATTTGTACCGGCAGAGTGGAATTTGGTTTCCTAAGTATTTTGGCTAATGTTAGCACTGCTGTGATCCACTACATTTATATCCTTGTGTAGTTGCACTCTGGTTACAATTTGTTTACACGCCTAACAACATTTTTGTTATTATCGTCACTGTAGGCTTATCCAGAATACCTGATCACTTATAAGATCGTCAAATCCTCGGGTGCGGAAGGTGGCAGTTCTCCTGAATGAATTCATCCTGTAAATAATTCCCGTTCATCTTACATTGTACTGGAAGTAGGTCGACAGCTATTGTGGTGATGAAAGAGATGAAGAAAAGCGTGGGCTATTCGCTCTCCAGAAGAAAATGTCCACTGTGATTTAATCAAAGTTATAAGTTAATCAGAAATTTTTACATAAATTTCCCATAAAAACGAACGACGTGATATTAAAGACGTTCCTTAGTGCATTTTTGTAAATAAGACGAGTTTTTTTCGCGATGTATTCACGCTGTATTGACAGGCTGTTGTGTATCGACGTTTTGAAGATCGATCTTCAGTGCATTCATTGAATAACTCCTCGCGATTTTCAGATTTAAAGGAGAGAACTGCATGATTTTGCGCTTTGTGAAAGCCAGTGATCAACAGCTGGAATTTGCAAATCGTGATACACTCGAGTAAAAATGTGAACAATTTCTCAAAATTTCTCAGTAGATAATTAACAAGTACGAGTGACACTGAGCTGTTCAGATTGTTGTAAGTTAAAATGCAGCTGTAGGACTAGCATCAATGACTAAAAAATATTGTAAATATTTAAGATATGTTAATAAAAGAGCGATTTTTGTGTGAGTGCTGAAAGTAAGAAGGAATTTCTCTGCTTTTGTTTTAGCATGTTACATGATTTGCTACAAAACTACCGCTTCAGATTTTTAACACTCTATCAATCGTGACCTGTTTCAACCTGCTCTCACGACCTGATTATTTAACCTGATAATTCCCCCCCCCCCCCTTAACTCTCTCTCTCTGTTTTTTTTTGTTTTTGTTTTTTTTTTTCTTCAGATTTTTAGTATGGACCTTCCCTGTTTTCATAATGATTGTAAATTTTAAAACAGACTTTTAACACTCGTAGCATCCCCATTTTAATTTTGTATTTGGAATGTTCTTTTATTGTTCACAATTAGCTTCTATATAGCTTAATACTTTGACACTTAAATGGAGTTCATTCATTAGTTAACGAACCGGGGTTAAACTGGCCAATCACAAATGACATCATACAAAGGTGACCAATCAAATGGCGCGAAACCGAAGTATCGTCTGACAAGTAACTTGTTTAATGATGAATTCCACTTAGATTGTCGAAACGTCAGACACTGACTTTTAGGACTTCCCCCTCTCTTACAAGACCACTCGGTCAACTTTTCATTTAGGATTCAAAACGTTTACTTTAATTAACCATTTATGTGACTGCTATGTGATTGGTTTAAAGATTCTTCGCTCCGTGACAAATTTATTGCAGTGCCTCGCAATTTTTTATTTTTATTTTTTAATTGCCACCAAAGAACTACTAGTACTATACATATTAGCTTGAATAGAAATGGTGAAGGAGCTCAAAGAAACCAAGAGGCTTATGAAATAAGGACTTCCTTATCAATCACTAAAATGGGCCAAACAAGAACAAAAGAAAGCAAATCAATAATAGGAAAAAAAAGGGAATTAAAGGAGAAGAGAATCTAGGAAAGAGGGTGTTTTTCAACTTGTTACAATGACCTTTTCATAAAGTCATGAAAACGATCTATCTACGAACTTTATACGTTTATCCCCAGCCATGAATTTCCTCATGCTCCTTAGTCGACAAGAGACCGAAATCATGTTCGGAACTCTCGGCAGAATCTACCAGGACCTCAAGATAGCTTCGTTCCCCTTCTCCTCGTTCACCTTTTATGTGTAACTTATTCTCTCTATCAGTCCCCTAGTAACTTCTGCCGGCTATCAAACAGTTATAACCAAGGAACAAATCTGTAAACTAGGTCCGCCAACGTCTGGTAACTTAATATCTTGTTAGTTGTGACTATAAGAAGTGCGTAGTCAGTCTCAAGTGTCAGAAGATGATCACAAGTTAATTCTTGAGAGGAATTCTCTGCCCGTTGTTGAAATACTTAATTCACACATTCAGAAATTCCGTCTCTTTTCAGTATTTCCGATATGATTTCTTCCACAAGTCTTAACCCGCTTGAGGGCGTTGTGCGAAAGTACTGGGTATGAATAATTAAAAAACTCGCAAAAGACTGGATCGAGGTTAATAAAGGGCGGCTATTTACAAAATGGCGAACAGTACAGACGTGTCAGAACCTTCGTATGTGATTGTAAATAAACAACTTCAAGATGTCATACGGCTCCAACACACAGCTGTGGCCCGGCTAAAAGCCAAGGTTAGAGGAACTGAGTCTTTTTTTAGATGTCGAGGAAAGACGATCTTGTGCCACGTGAAGAACATGAGAAGCTAATCATGGAACTTGAAGTTGTTGTTAATTTTTAAGTCCTTTTAAATATACTTAAGTATCCCTCTTATTTCTAGTCAATTTAGTTTATCGTATTGAAATAAAGGTTTCTTACTTACTTACTTACTAACTTAGTGGACAGACCTTTGTGCGTACATTGTCAGGAATGTTGTAGAAAAATCAGCTTGCCGTAATTAGAAGGTTCTAAAATATTGTTATGCTCCTTTGTGGATGTTCTGTTAGATGTCGAGGAAAGACGATCGTGTGCCACGAGAGGAATATGAGAAGCTAATCAGGGAACTTGAGGTTGTTGTTGATTTTTTCTTAATTCTACTTTCATGACCGTGTAATTATTTTGTCGTTTGATAAAATTAAAGTATGAAATAAGACCCTGACAATCAGTGCCCCACTCAAAGAATTCTTTTGCCAAGAGATGCTGAACTCCTAATAGAAGAAGGGTCATAAGGGTTTGTGTCTTCTGACTTTGTTTGTTTAAGTCAAAGACATCTTGAGCTCAGAAAAGTCTTAATTGAGTGCAGAAAGTAGTTTGAGACTGCTTAGGTTTTGCTTTACTTTACTTCGTGTTAGTCTTGACATTGGATGCAGCAACCAAATTTATTATGATTTGATCTTTTACAATTTCCAATGCTCTAGGCAATTCCATGTTTTTGTTTCGTTTTCTATTGAAGGAGTGTACTGAATGAGGCATTTATTAGCTTTTGCTTCAACTCCTACATCTCATTTTTTCTCAAGTGAATACATGGCACCTTGGAGAGAGAATCTGTTTGTCTATTAGAAGTACTCTTAAGAGCTTTCCTCAGTTCACTGTTAAATTGGCTCCTAGTGATGTTTTCCTTTAAGCTTATTGGTTGTGATTACTGTGGTTTGGTTTAAAACACTAGGTTGAAATGCACTTTATTTTGTTAACCCCTTAACTCCCAAGATCTGACTGTAATTTCTCCCCTCCAGCTGTTAGACATTTCCTTGTAAATTAGTCATAAGAATTTGGTGTTGGCTCAAGATAACAACTTCTAATTGATAATTTTGAGTTCTCATCACCTGCTTTCTGGATAGAGTATGGATGTTATAGGGAGAAGTTACATATGAATCACTTTTGGGGGTTAAAGGGTTAAGCAGAGTAATCATGAATTCAACTGATTAATTTTGAAATCCAAGGACTGAAAAAATTTGTTAACTTGACTGAGTTCTCTCAATTCTCTCCCTGAATAATTCTGAGAACAGAACCACATAAATTTTAATAGTAATTTGTTTTGCATTGTAACTTGTCTCATTTGTTTCACTGTCCATTCCATTTTATAGGAAGAAAAACTTGAGCATGTAAAGACAAAAGCAAAACTGGCTAGTGAGAGTGAAAGATTACAGTTTGCCTTAGGGGAAATAGACATTTTAAACAAACAGCTGCAGCGTGAAAAGTTATCATTTGAAAATGCGTATGTAGAAATTTCTTCAAGATTGTTTTATGTTTTTTGTCGGTACTAATTATTATATGCCTGAATTTCCTATTTCACCTGTTTCCTTTATGCATCATGACTCATAAGTTGAAGCTAAGATAGCATGATAATTTTTGTAAATCAATAAGAAATTATTCCCTTTTTTACAAACTTTTATGTACAGGTTTGGCCAGGTTAAAAGTAAAGCCTTTGAGGAAACCCAAGAGAAAATGCAGTTTCAAACAAAGTGCCAAGGTTGGAATTATTTATCATAATTGAGACAAAACACTCAATCCTCTCCTGGTTTATAGTTATTAATACTGATAGAGACCAAGCTCAATTTAAGATTGAGTTTATATTGTCAGAGGAAAAAGGTTTTCCTGAGTAGAAATGAGACATGATTATTTAGCAGTTAAAACTGCTAGAAGTCACATTTCTCATTGAAATTTCTTAACTACTTTCGACAATTTTTCTCGCTTTATTTCTGCCCATAAACAAAGTTATGCCACTTTCTTCAATTTGAATCCTTTTGCAGCTTTATGTCCTAATAGTTTATTGCTTTCTTGAATTACCTAGCAATGGAAGAGCTCTGTTCCAAACAAGATGATATTTTAACAACAAAAGATGCAAAAATAAAGGAACTCAAACTTCGCCTTGTTCGCCAGAAAGAGATTCATCAACAACAACTTTCTGACCTGGACATTCATCGGCAACAAGAACAATACATTAATTACAATACACAAAAATCTCAAGACAAAGGCAAAAGAACTCGTCAGAAACGGGTATCTTTCAGATAACCCATAATTGTACACTATGGTGAGAATTATGATTACAAAAGTCATTATTTTTAATCCTTTGACCTTAAAGAGTGACTAGCATCTAATTTCTCCTTACAATATCACCCCCGAGTCATACAATAAGAGCTCATGAAAATAAAGGAAATTATCACCAACTGAAGACGCTGTTGATTGTTAAAAACAATTCCCCCAATCATCACCTCAAGAACAGTAAGGAGAATATGCATGCTGATGTTAGGGTGTAAAGGGTTAATACTATTAATTATAATTCTATAGTTATTACTGCTGCCAACTATGTCCTTTGCAAGTACATAAGTAGCCTAGTGTGTGTCTATGTTCCTTTTTTTATATTTTAAAAGGAATTGCATGGAAAGAGGGAGGCAGAAGAGATGGATTGTCACTGCCCTCTCATTCTATCCCCCTACAATACTATGTGGTCTGAAAGTAATATTTCTGTGTTGTATCAGTGGCAACATTACTTACAAATATATTTTGTGTAGGTGTAATAGCTTTAGTGTTTTAAAATTTCAAGTCAGTATGTGGCACACAGTTGTAAAAAGATGGAGTGAACTAGCTAGAATGACTAGTAAATTTCCTGTTGCTTTTTGTATTCCATGGCTGCTAAAATGTCTAAGCTAATATTAAATTGCAGAAATTGTAAAAAAGGCTACAGTTACCAAAAAAAATTTTATCTTGTTCAAAAGTAGGTACTGGAATAATATTTTCAATGAAGTAAATTGGCGAGAAAGTTCATTAAGCTTTTTTCTTTTAACCCCTCTTTAACCCCTAGGGGTGACTAGCATCTAATTTCTTCTCACAATATCACCACTGAATCACACATTAATATCATGAGAATAAAGGAAATGATCACCAATTAGAGAAACTATTGATTATTAGACAAATTCTCCTTGTCAGCACCTTAGTAAATGTACAGAGGACTGTATGGAGAATATAAATACCGATGTGACGACGTAAATGGTTAAGTGATTGCTTCCCACATAGTTAAATACACCACTCAATTTGAGCGCAAAGCTCCACTAAAACATCTGTGATTTTTTTATTTTTCCATAATTACTTAAAAATTTAGATATCTTGTCCTTTAA